AACTTAGGAACCACTAGAGGTATTTTGAAGCTTTTTAACACCCAATGTAAGTACATCATGCTTCTCCCTCCCCTTTTCTTCCATTTTCAAAGTTAAGGTTTGAATTGGGAGAGTAATTAACGGTTCATATGAGCTATGGGTCCGAACCTAATGGCTAAAATAGTGATAATAAGAGATGTTTAGAGTATTTAAACATTACATTAATAGTTTTGTGAGTTTTTGGTGGTTGAGGGCCATTACTAATAGAAAATTGATATTTATGAGGGTTGTTAGGAGTGTTTGATGGCCTTTAATGATAGTTTAATGGTTTATTAATAATAATGTGAGTTGCTGGGACTTAGTAAACTCAATGGGTATAATTGAGAGTGAGTTTATGACTTAAATAAAAAGGAGAGTGAAGAGTTATAATGTTTGAAGTTACTTAGAAAAGGGGATATTGATGAATGTTCTTGTGTTTGGTTGTAGATTATTTAATTTTGGCACCATTTGAGCTATTTGACAAGCTTTAGAAGTTGTGTTTTAAGGGATAAATCTTTGACCTCTCAAAGGCTTGAGGTAATAGGAGGAAAATCTAGTTTGTATAGTTGTTTTTTAATTAGTTATTTGTAGAATTTAATGATTTGGAACTTGTTCGGTGTTTGAAAACTATTGATGCAAATTTTGGCAATGTGATAAATTATATGTGGCATTATCTTGGATTTTGGAGAATATATTCATGTTATATATATATATATATATATATGGTTAGTGATGATAATTGAAAGCATGCCATTATGAAAAGTGATAAATATATGGTATTTGACATGTGGAGTATGACGAATATGTGAATTATGATACGTGGATGAGTATAAAGAAAAAAACTTGTGTGAATTGATATGTGATGAATTATGTTAAAAAAATGATATATTAAGTGTTAATATATGTAGAGCATGATCATTGATAAGAGTTTTGCCTAAAGAGAAGAGTAGATTGGTAAATTCATGTGATAAAAGTTGTTTACCATTGGAATCAGAAGCTTGTCTTGGCACTAACAGTTGAAATTGGGAGGTAACCCTTATCCTATAATTGATTCAGGATTGTTTTACTTATTTTTTTTAAAAACTCAAACCTAACTAGTCTTCATTATTTCATAAAGAGGCTAGATTAAGGGTATAATGCCCTATGGTTATTAGTATTGGGAGAAACTATAGTACACAAGTGGGCAAGTTAATCTTAGCTCGATAGCTCCTCACAAGTGGAAGGTTGGGTTAGTTCGAGTTGTGAACACAACCGTTTAATAGCCATCAATTTCATGTCAGAGGTATTAGAAGAGTATGAAGTTGGCATTGATTATGCATTTAGTTCTAGCCACATGATTGTTATTATTGTGGTCTCACGTATTTTAGGAGCACATAATTGTTATTTTTTAGACCCTAAGATATGCATAATTGTGATATATTCGATGTTAATTATTGCACACCCGGTCACATGGTTGCTAATATTGTGGCTAAGGCTATACTTGATTTATGAGCATGTAATGTTTTGAATTCATTGCCATTTACATCCAAATATAATTGATATGTAACTGTATAAGTCAGATTGACCTTGGTTACTGAATAATTGTGTCATTTCTCATTATTAAATATTTCAGGGCTTAGCTTATCAGACTAAGATCGAGGAAAATGATCGGAGGCATGAGATTTTGAATAAATCTTACTTGTAAGTCTCTTAGTTTTAGATTATGTGTATTAAATATTGTTAATTTGCCAACTAGGATTTCATTCAATTATTTTGTCTACTTACATTATAACTGAAAGTATTTTATGCCCTAAGCTAGTGATATGTGGTTGTAAAGTTTAAATAGGGCCAAAATACTAATACAAGTAGGGTAAAGTGTAATTGGGTTGCTTTTAGATGGATATTAATGATTTTATGTAAGTTATCTCTCCCTTCATATTTTTATGAATTAAGGGATTGGGTGGTGAATTTGTGTAATATGTGTAATTGATTAATTGTGGTGTATTGGTCTAAATTGATCTATTGAGTATGGTCTAAGAGTTAGTATAGGCTTTTGGCACATGTGTTGGAACTCGAACACCCTAGATGTAAGTTAATGTGAAAAAGGAGTGAAATTTATATTGGGTGTCCAACTTTTTGTAGAAAAATGATTTGATTATAAAACTTGTACTATTAGTTAGAATTATGAGAAAGTTATTTATAGACACTTAGATTATTTCAATTGGATGTCAGATAGAGAATTAGGATGCTTGAATGTTTGTCCCGGGTGTTATCATATGACAGCAAAATTTACTATCAAATTCGTGCAATGCACCAGTGCATGTCCTGTTTTGCACAGTTCACTATTTTAAAGTCGATATGCAAATGTTTTGATTCTTTTTTAATTTTCGTGCTTTTGCATGAGTTTTAAACTTTGATTTGTAAAGGTTGAAAGTGTATGGGAGTATTTTAAATATTAAAAACTCGGGATCCTAATTGTACAATTTGACAAACTAGATAATCATTATTGGATTACACCTTTGATTACTTTAGATTTGGTAGTTAATTATGTTTATGTAAGCAAATTTTTACACAAGTAACTGTTTGTGAAATGGCAAGTTTCATTATATTTTAAACTTTGCTTTTATTTTTCATGCCAATATTTACCAAGAGTTTAATGATTTTTTTTATAAATGACTACTTATTAAATTACAACAGAACTTGTTAAAATTTTTAATATGAATTGATTTTTATGAATATTTACTTATTTTTATTGTTAGAAATGACAAGTTCTTGATGGTAATTTAACAAGCAACCATTTATAAAATGATAAGTCCCCTTACTAGCACTGATAATTTCTCTTAATAATTTGATAAATAAATTTTAATAAAATAATAAATTCATATAAGATTTTAAAATATTGATATGAACTTGTTAAATGAATAATGCAAATCTTTATACATATTTTAGACTTTATTTTTACTTTTTATATCAATACTTATCAAGAGCTTAATGGTTATTTATCATTTTATAAATGACTACTTATTAAATTACTAGTGGGACTTATCAAACAATTTAATATGCATTGTTTTTGATAAAATGTTTACTTATTTTTTATTATCAAAAGCTTACATGTCAAGAGCTTTTGTAAACTTAGTATTTTGCTAAAATTTACTTGTTAAATTATCAAAAAAAAATTTCAACACTAGTAATAAGACTTGTCATTTCATAAATTGTTATTTGTTAAATTAGTAAAGGGGACTTGTTAAAGAAATTTAATAAGGAGTTTTTTTTAATAAATGTTTACTTTTTTTATTATAAAAAACTTACATGTCAAAAACTTATATGAACTTGTTATTTTAGTAAAATTTTCTTATCAAATTATTAAGAAAATTTTTTGAAACTAGTAACAGGACTTGTAATTTCACAAATAATTATTTATTAAATTATCAGTGGGGACTTGTTAAAGAAATTTAATATGAAGCAATTTTTTAAATGTTTACTTATTTTTATTACTAAAAACTTACATGTTAAAAGCTTATATAAACTTATAATTTTACTAAAATTTATTTATCAAATTATCAAGATAAATTTTCAAAGCCAGTAATAAGATTTGTTATTTTATAAATGATTACTTATTAAATTATTAATGAAAACTCGTCCATCTCCTTCAAGCCCAAGACTAATAGGCCTTATATACCTTAACCAATCATCTCATTCTTGTTTAGGAAGAATATGAGGTTTCATGATACCTTTGTAAGAACCAATGTCTAAGAAGGCAATGACAAAGACAGGGACATCACATTTGGATGGTAGGAACATTTATAAAAACTAAAGAGTCACATTAATAGTTTAACAAGTAGTTATTTATAAAATAATAAGTAACCATTAAGCTTTTGATAAATATTTACATAAAAAGTGAAAACAAAGTTAAACATACATAGATACATACATAAAGATTTGCATTACATAATTGAAAGGAATTATTAGCCCAGTGGCTAACTATTTTTTTGATTGCCAAGAGAATGTGGGTTCAAACTCTACATTGTTTACTTAAAAAAAAAAATTAATCTATCTCCCTCATTAGTCATGGTGACTGACACTGAAGCTCTGGTGGCCGCTTTATCTTTTTACATTAAAATTTAATTACATTTTAGTCCCTTGATCCTATAGTGTGGACTCATAATTATTTGATCATTCTCGGTAAATGAAATTCTCCAAAGATCCTTCAGTGTGATTTTCCCAAGATAGAAACCGAATGAATCCTAAGAATTAAAAAAAAAAAATGACCTAATGGCCCACAGCATTCACATGTGATTCATTAGATAACCACTAAATAGGAGTATGAGCCCAACAAAGCTAAACCACCATTTTGAACCAAAACAAATACATTACCATTTATGTAATTATGTTTAGTGAAAAAAGTTAATCCTTTATAATATGATAAATTAAAATTAAAATTTAAAAACTTATCAATAGAAGTATCTATATTCTGTACTTAATAATGATTCAAACAAGATTATCTCCAATAGCAACATGCCATGGGTAAAAAAAAATAAAAACAAAAACAAATACACCACATTAAAAAAAAAAAAAAACAACAACAACACACACATAACTTCATAATGCTAAGCTATTTTGCCAACAAAATTAGCTTACTTAGCATTGTAGGAAAAATTTTGTGGAAAAAATGTTAAAAGAAGTCATTATTACAGAGATTAATTGATATTTTAATCATTTCATCTAGATTTGATTTTTATTCTAAAATCATATTATTATTATTAGTAGCTTGCTAAGATATTTTTACAGTCGACAATCAAGGAACTAATCTCTCAAATAACTTAAGTGTCATTTAAAAGTTTGTTTTCTCTAATCAATTCTTTTCATATACATTTTCAGTAATGTAACTCTAGAATTAAAGAGAATTATTATTAATGTGCTTTTTATTTCATTGTGCACTGCGACCTGTGAATTTTTTATTTTTTTGACCTGTGACCTTTGAAATTAAAAGGCGACCCGGGACACATATCTTAGCATCGCGGAAGTCGGACCTAGCAACGAATTTAGTCTCAGTATCGAAGAAAACCATTCCTCTCCAAATCCGCGTTTCCCCTTGGCCATTCGCTCTCTTGCAGTAGCATAACCTCACGCGGTAGTCGGAGATTCACGCGCCACCCATGGCTTCTCCGCCGACACTTCCGATTTCCAACCCCCAATCCAACAGCGGCACCACGGCTTCCCAGTCTCAGCCTCCAATTGCTACGCCTGCCTTTCGGTCCTTCATCGCACGCCTCTCCTCTTCTGTCCGCCAGGGATTCTCCCAGCGCCGCCCGTGGTCGGAGCTCATTGACCGGACTGCAATGTCCCGGCCAGATTCTCTTTCAGAAGCATATTCTCGGATCCGCAAGAACTTCTCTTACTTCCGTGTCAACTACATAACCCTACTTGCCCTCGTATTGGCTATCTCTCTCATCTCCCACCCGCTCTCGCTCCTTGTTCTCTTCGGCCTCCTCGGCTCATGGGCCTTTCTGTACCTTTTCAGGCCTTCAGATCAGCCCCTTATCCTTTTTGGTCGCACCTTCACTGATCGCGAAATTTTGGGTATTCTGGTGGTGTTGACAGTGTTCGTTGTTTTTCTCACCAACGTTGGATCTCTCTTGATTTCGGCTTTGATGGTTGGGTTGGCAATCGTTTGTGCGCACGGTGCATTCAGAATGCCTGAGGATCTGTTTCTGGACGATCAAGAACCCATGAATTCCGGTTTCCTGTCGTTCCTCGGCGGCGCTGCCTCTTCTGCCGCTGCATCGTCTGTTTCACGCGTGTAAACGGATCGGGGTTCCCGTGTATCTTGGTTGGCTTTCACGAGGTTTATTCGGACCAATCTTCTTGTCCTGCTTTACTAAGCTAGTTGCCTTCTTGATAGGAGGACTTTTTCTTGCTCATTTGTATGATCCAAAGCAAATTGCTTGGGATATTGTCTTCTCCGAGATATACGTAGATGAAAACTTTGCAGATTGAATTACTTTACGCCATTTTATCAGTAGCAAGATATGCTTTCGATCTTTGTAGTTTATATTCCAATTTTGCTTCTGGTTATAATTGTCACCTTCTCTATCAGTAGACAAATGTCTTCATTCATTTCCCTGTTTGTTTGTCCTGGATGGTTTATTTGCTTCGCTGTCACGATTTCGTTTGAGATGGTCTGTTTCGGCATCTGTTTGTCTGTATGTTCTTTTGGTTTCTCTTTAGGTGGATTTGGTATAAAATGGGAATGGGAAAGGGAATGAGAATGGGCTTTCCACCATTAACCTGGAAGCTGTCTTCTAGGGAATTCACTTTGCCAATTACCAATACCTTCTCAAGTCCCTTTTCCATGTACCAACTGCAGCTTTAGAGAAAGGGATGAACGTGGAAGTTCTCATCTGATTGCACACATTGAATTTAACATGTACGTGTGAATTTTTGTTATTCTTGAACCTAGTGCTTACTAAAGAAGCCTTTGCGTAGATAATGATTAGCAGTCATTGAAAATTTTTAGGTTCTGTTGGTTGTTGAATTCTTTAGCCCATGCTAATGCAGGACTAAAGAACAAGGCAGCATTTCAAGTTTTCAACTATTAATAATAACTTCCTGTGGTACGAACTCTGCCTTTGTTGTTTCAAACGTATCTACCCACTCTTGAAGTTCTTTTTACCATGAGATTCATGCAGCATTCAAGCTTTATGGTGCTTGTGAGATAGGTAGGTTATTTGGGAGTAGAAATTGGGGAGGAAAAAATTGTAACTTTTTTTTGGGCTGTGCTTTTGTACTGTGGCATTATCACTAAAGCTTCCGTAGATTTAAGGAAATGAAGTGGCTTCCTGTGCGTGTTTACGAATATTCTCTAGGGGGGAATTGCACTCTATTAGACTGAGGGACTGGATGAATGTAGTGCATGTGACAGCTACCTTTCATCTATTGATACAGGGGTTAGGGATTCCAATTTTTGACCGATCAACATGTATGTCTTGCGCAGAAAAAGAACAACTAATTTATAGAAGTTTTTAGCGGGCACAAGGATTGAAGTTATTAACAATTACATATGGCTGAAGTTAGTGTGTGTGTGAAAGAATACTAGATGCTTATTTTGATTTGCTGCCTCAAGAGACTGCAGCCACTTCTATAGGCTAGGTTTTCTGGCTAGGACGCGAAGAGGAGTCAAATACCAAACCATCCCTCAAAAAAAAAAAAAAAAGAAATGTAAAAGGATAAAAATACTCACAAAGTGGTTAGTCAGGAGCACTCGGTATCTTAAAGTGAGGAAAAGGGTAAAAATACTCATAACGTTATATGAGTGACGTTATATGAGTGGGTGTTAAAGTAATCAGATTGTTAACTTTGACTTAACGTCATTAATTTTGATTGTTAAGTATTGATTGTGCATGCTATGTGAGTCTTTGTTGACATGGACTAATAAATGAGCAAAAATATTTGCAAAATCATCAATCATAAGTAAAAATATTCATAACAAAAGTTGATCATTTTTTTGCTGACACAAACAAAATATTTCTAGATGGAATTTTTTGAAGGTTAATCAATCATTATATGAATATCATGTGAGAAAATGTCATTTTAATTAAATATCAAATTAAATTGCTTGTTTTTTTGCAGCAATGATGTAAATCATTTAAAATTTTTGAACCCATTATGAATGAAATTGTTTAAAGTTGTAACAATGTTCTTAAGGTAGCGTGGCATAGGAGGGGTGCTCAGTGTTGATTTTTAAATGTGTATAACTCATCTCACTATGTTGAATATCAGGTTTTGCAGGCAAAAAATGAGTGAAAAGGGAGGAAGGAAGGGAGTAAGATATGTGACGATAGAAAAAAAATCATGTAATATGAATTTTGACAGATTAGTCACTAATTATGGGTACTTATATGGTGATTGATCAACATTTATAAAAATTTATCTGGGAATATTTTCAATCTACATTAGCGAAAAAAATAGTTAACTTCTACTTAGATGTTAGCTAAATGGTCAACATTTAAGGAATTTGATGGATTAGTCACTTTTGCACCAACTCTGGTAACGTGGTGGATATTTTTGCTCTTGATTGATGACTTCATGAGTATTTTTATCCCTTTATTAGTCCAAGTCCGCAAAAGCTGACACATGACATGCACAGTTAGCATTTAACGGTTAAAGTTAATGGTCTGATCACTTTTGCACTCTCTCATATAATGTTATGAGTATGTTTGCTCGTTTTCTCACTTTAAAATATTGAGTGTTTCTGACTGATCACTTTGTGAGTATATTTGCCTTTTTACCTGTTTTTTTTTTTTTTTAAGGTTGTGAGGATTCATTTACTTCTCATGAAACTTGTCCAATGGATCTGGTTACGGCTGAATTATACGCAAAGTACTAAATCAGCTTGTTTCAGTAATGCAGTCAGAGAGGTCTAAAACTCTACCCAGGTGGATTGCGTTTGGCAGACCTATCGGTCGGTAACTGTTGTCAAAATCAGCATGAAACACTACAGAACTGAAAATAAAAAAAAAACCGTTAAAGAAACCGGAAACTGAAAGGGAAAAAATTGAATGGGCTTGTAGTTTAACTGAGACACATAGCTATCATTGGTGAATCGGTGATGAGTCCTCTAAGAGCGCATGGTTGGAATAATAATTGGTTGAACCCAGCGAGAGGGATGATAAGGGAATAAGGAAAATTGTGAAGGAATGAATCATCTTCCACACAGAACCCCCACCTCATTTTTGGATTTTGTTGCGGGCATCTGTTTCTCAACCTTGGCCTTTCTTGAACGTGCTTCATTTTTTTTTTTGGCGCTAACATTCTCTTGCACCTAATGTGGCTTTCTCTTGATTCATTTTGTCGACACTTTATCTTTTACACTTGCTTTACAGGGGTGATAGTTTGGCTTGTCTATGATAGTCTCACATCGTTACTTGATATTACCTGATTATCACTTATCTTACCATGTCACATGGGCTTCTAATTCCGGGTCAAGTTTTTTTTGGGGGGATAAATTGCTCTGATGAATGTATTTTTTTGGTCCACTGAGTTATTAAAGGATGGATGAGATTCCAATTACATGTGAGTATCAATCAGTTCGGTGTCAAACCATGTAAAAAGAGATCAACCGAACAATGCTAAAAATATGAACCGAATTGAATTGAATAAGGACAGAATTAAAATTTGACAATTCAGTTCAATTTATTAATTCTATTTTGGGCTTCATATTGGCTGTTTGGACTTAAGTCAATTTTGTTATTGTTTATACTAAAATAAACAATGCTTATAAATAAAATAAAGCTTGTCGAGTGATAGTAACTCATTTTAATGAGGGGTTAGGGGTTTAACTTATCAAATTATATATTTACTTTTATTTAAGTATAAAATATTAAAAATAAAATAAATAAAGTAATTAATAAGCTAAATATAATTTAAAAATTAATAAATTATATATATACATGATAACTCAGTTAGTTTGGTCTATTCAATTTTAAATTTTATTAACCGAATCAAACTGATCAAGTGAAATATTTCAAAAAAAAAAACAAATTGAACCAAAAAACCAAACCAAATAACAAAAATTCAATTTGATTTTTAGTTTTGATTTGGTTTTGCTCATCTTTAATTCCAATATCTTTTTTATATGAAGAATCACATCCAAGAATTTGGGAAGAAAGTTATTCGCAAATAATAATCAATGTAAAATAGATTGTTATTAAAATGGAAATACAAACTTGTTATCATGGAATGAAATTTGTTATTAGTTCTCGTTTACAAATGATTTTTTTTTTTTTAAGTCTTTGAATGTAATTCTCCTTTTTTGATATTACTGAGTAGGCTTTCTTTTTGTTGAAATGGGAAATAATTATTTCTAGAAGAGAAATTTCTGTATTCCCAACGATATCTAGCAAATTCCCAAAGGTCGACAATTGCCATACAAATAGCTGTAGGAGTGTGTAAGTGACTGAGACAACCGAAACAAGATTTAAGGAAAATTTTAGAAGTTCATATTTTTAAAGATCAAACGTTGCTAATATGAAATATTTTTTCACGTAGTTTACCAAGTTTAACAGACTCCATGCCCAACAATGAAATAAAATTAAGTTAACATGAAAATTAGGCAAGCCTTTCATATATCACACAAAATTTAAAGAATTAATCGCTCTGGACTGCTGGTGACATGTAAAGATTTGATGATATGGCGCACTCGTACCGAAAATGGTCCCTTTAACATGAGGATGATGACTTTTGTCATTATCAGATTTTCGGGACCGCTTTGATTTTATTGGACCATGACCTGGTTGAACTTTAACAAACAGAGTTCCATCATTTAATGCTAGAAATGTTGAAATTGACCTTCGCGTTCGCAGGTTAAAGTCCGAATACATGAACATGCTCTTCTTCGTAGGGTATTATAATATTTAAATCAAATGCTCTTTGCAGTTTCCAGCAATTGGCAAGAAGCCGCGTCAAGGCACTAACTAGGTCGTTTCAGGGCATTTTGTAAGAGTCTGAGATCTGCGAAGCAAGTAAGCAACCATGAGTGATGCAGATGGAAGCTGTGTGGCGGGACCTACCGAACAGATAAGGAATAGCCGTTGGGACTTCGTGGCGTGAGGACTGAGGAGGCAAGCATTAAAAAGCCCACAGGTACTTGAATCTTATTGCATTGTTTAAAGAAAAAACTAGCCGTTAGCGCTTGTATGAAGGAGAGCCTGTGAATCTTATTGCTCCCACCTGACATTTGTGTCCAGACACACAGATTCTCTCTCTCTCTCTCACGCTCCAACGCTCGCCGACACACTCACGCATCCTCCTCATGACCATCACGTGCCCATTCTCAGAACTCACTCCCTCACTATTTTGGTACAAAATCCTCCTTCTATGTCCAGACTCTCTGCTCCCCAGTTCGATCACTCTGAACACAAATGTCGCAATAGACTCTTCCCCTCCCAAGTTCCTATCTTTTTCTCTTATTATACTTCCCCACTGATTGTTATGCTCTTCATTACGATAATGGGGAACAGAAATATTCTGCAGCACAACCCTTCTCAGGTTTTGCAACTCAGGACGATAAATGCAGCAGATTGGCACTATATTTTGGACAAGAAGAGAGAGAAATGGAAGAATCGTCGTGAAACCCAAAACCCATTTCAATGGTTTCTCTGGGTCCCTTGTTTGTGGATTCTTCTGGTCCCCATTTGTGTGAAGCCAGTTTTGGGCGAAGGGGATCGTTGGGATGGAGTGGTCGTCACAGAATCAAATTTCTTGGCACTTCAAGCGTTCAAGCAAGAGCTGATTGATCCCAAAGGCTTCTTGCGAAGCTGGAATGACAGCGGCTACACTACTTGTTCTGGAGGTTGGGTTGGGATCAAGTGTGCTCAGGGGCAGGTGATCGTGATCCAGCTTCCATGGAAGGGACTGAAAGGGCACATCACAGAGAGGATAGGCCAACTTGCAGGCCTTCGAAAGCTTAGTCTTCATGATAACCAAATTGGAGGGTCAATCCCTTCCTCGTTGGGGCTTCTTCCTAATCTCAGAGGGGTTCAGCTATTCAACAATAGGATAGAAGGGTCCATCCCTCCCTCATTAGGTTCTTGCCTTTTGCTTCAGTCCTTAGACCTAAGTAATAACTTACTGACAGGGAGAATCCCTGATAGCCTCTTCAATTCTTCTAAGCTTTATTGGCTTAATTTGAGCTTCAATTCCTTGTCTGGTTCAATACCAGCCACCCTCACTCGTTCACCTTCTCTAACCTTCGTTTCTCTTCAACACAACAATCTATCTGGCTCTATCCCGAACTCATGGGGTGGGACTCTGAAAAATGATTTCATTGGGTTTCAGAATTTGATCCTAGACTATAATTTATTCTCCGGAACTATTCCTGCTTCTTTGGGCAGCTTAACCGAACTCAGAGAGATTTCTCTAAGTCATAATCAGCTTAGTGGAGCTATCCCAAATGAAATAGGGAGCCTTGCTAGACTTAAAACGTTGGATTTTTCAAATAATGCCCTCAACGGAAGTTTGCCTGCTAGTCTCTCTAACTTGTCATCGCTTACTGCGTTGAATGTTGAGAACAACCACCTCGATGATCAAGTCCCAGAATCTCTAGGTAGATTACGTAACCTTTCTGTTCTTAATTTGAGGAGAAATCAACTTAGTGGTCACATTCCTGAAAGTATTGGCAACGTTTCCTCGCTTAAACAGCTTGATTTGTCTCTAAATAATCTCAGTGGTGAAATTCCTTCCTCCTTCGACAATTTACGTAGCCTTAATTTCTTCAATGTGTCTTACAATAATCTGTCTGGTCCTGTTCCCTCTCTACTTGCCCAAAAATTTAACTCAAGCTCATTTTTGGGTAATATCCAACTATGTGGGTACGATCCTTCAGTCCCATGTCCTTCTCCAGCGCCATCTCAAATTGTCTCTACTCCATCTCCTGTGACATCAAAACACCATCACCGTTGGAAACTACATACCAAAGACATAATTCTCATAGCAGCGGGGGCTCTCCTCGTACTCCTTGTAATAATATGTTGCGTCCTGATCTTCTTCTTGATCAGAAGAAGAGCGGCATCGAAAGCAGAGAAAGATGAAGCTGCTGGCACTGCCAGGACCGAAAAAGGAGTCACTGCAGCCGCAGCCCGAGCTGCTGGTGCAGTTGAGCCCGGCGGTGAGGCAGGAGGGAAACTAGTCCACTTTGATGGCCCAACAGCTTTTACAGCCGATGATCTTTTGTGTGCAACCGCAGAGATAATGGGAAAAAGCACCTATGGGACAGTGTACAAAGCCACATTAGAGGACGGAAGTGAGGTTGCAGTGAAGAGACTGAGAGAAAAGATCACCAAGGGCCAAAGAGAATTTGAATCCGAGGTCAACATTCTTGGGAAAATTCGTCACCCAAATCTTTTGGCACTGAGGGCATATTATCTGGGACCCAAGAGTGAAAAGCTTCTGGTTTTTGATTATATGCCTAGAGGAAGTCTTGCTGCTTTCCTGCACGGTAAGTTATAACTCCAATCAGCTTCATATATGTGCAAAGTTCAGAACTTTATTGATTTAATGTATTGTCATTATTATGTTGCAGCTCGTGGGCCAGAAACAGCCATCGATTGGCCAACAAGAATGGGAATAGCACAAGGCATGGCTCGTGGCTTGTTCTACCTTCACTCCCATGAGAACATCATCCACGGGAACCTGACATCCAGCAATGTCCTGCTTGACCAAAATACAAATGCTAAAATTGCAGATTTTGGTCTTTCTCGGTTAATGACAACTGCTGCTAGTTCTAATGTGATTGCCGCTGCCGGAGCGTTAGGCTACAGGGCGCCCGAGCTCTCAAAGCTGAAGAAAGCAACCACAAAAACTGATGTGTACAGCCTGGGTGTGATCTTGTTGGAACTCCTAACAGGGAAGTCACCAGGTGAGGCTATGAATGGGGTGGATTTGCCTCAGTGGGTTGCCTCCATTGTGAAGGAAGAGTGGACGAATGAGGTGTTCGACGTGGAGCTAATGAGAGATGCATCTACCATTGGTGATGAGTTGTTAAACACATTGAAACTTGCTTTGCACTGTGTTGATCCTTCTCCATCAGCACGGCCAGAAGTTCAGCAAGTACTACACCAATTGGAAGAAATTAGACCAGAAAGATCAGTCAGCTCTGTGGATGATGGAGCCGTCCCATCAACCAGTGATTAGGAGCATCTTAGTAGGAGGACATTACTTTTTTTAATTACTTCTTTGCGTGCTTAGTAGAACTGTCATTATTCTTTCATTCATATATTATTATAACTTTGCCTGTTTGAGTTGCTCGCGTCTGTAAATATTGCTGTTTTTTACGTCAGCAAGTGTTTCTTCTTTTAACACTTCATTTTTCTTTATGGACACTTTGCCAAGCTGCTTCTTGATTCCTCCATTTTAAACCCCAATTTTTTTTTAACCCATACATTCCCACACTGGAGGAAGAAACCAAAAAAAAGAAAAAAACACACACAAACACACACACAAACTATATACATCTCAAAAGCCGCCATGACTTGAGAGTTTTGGACCGTTTCTTCTGTATGTTGATAGCTGCCATCTTTTCCCTCTGTGAAATGAATGATTTTTATTATGTAATGTGAATCACTAAACAGCCATGTCTGATATCAAACTGTACTGAATACGGCAGATAAAGCAGGCAATGGTACGGCTATTAGATTTGACAACAAACCTCCTGATCCGTTATTCGTTCATAATGTCTCACTGTCAATTCTTTCAAGTTCAATCGTTATATTCCCGCAAAGATTCCACAGTAAATTCTGAAATTTCCACAAAATCTTCCACATCAAATTGATTCCTCAGTTAAGGCTTGTAAATTTGAATTGACGTGAACAAGTGAATCACATCTTGTCTTGAAAGACCATTTCATGTGACTAGGATCAAAAGAAACAGAGGTGAAAAAACATAGTGAAGGAGCCTAGGAATTGACAGGCAACTAGATAAAAGGACAGATTGTCCAGGATAATGCAATAAGCCACGCTTTCAAAATTCAATCAATTTAAGTGGAGATAATAACTAATTCCTAGAAAGCAAATTTGAGAGTATCCACTAGCTGGAACTTTATAGATAAGATGTCTGATTAAAGATTGCGTAGCATTAAAAAGACATTTTTGTGAATTTATTAAAACTGAAAATCTAAAATCCACAAAACACAATAACTGAAATGCAAGAATAGAATAAAAAAAGGTATGGCAAATGGAAGTTCAAACATATCTCTGTTTCACAAGTGATCAAAACATGTCAAATGAAGCACATTTAACAAAAGTTCACATGTATATTTCCTTTATTTAAAAATATAAAGCATTTTTAAATGAATCTCACCTCTCAATAAAATAAGTACCTACTTTTAAATTAATCTTATCTTTTTATATTTACTCTTATTAAATATCATATAATAAATACAGAGTCATTCATCAATAAGGTCATTTTAAAGTAATGATTACATCTTAAAAGACAAAAAATGCCTTACATTTTTTAACATTCAATTCCTCAAAAAATGCTTATATTTCTAAATGGAGGAAGTATGTTAATATATCTCATTCTAACCCACATCTACGTTTTGATTAATCAACACATATTATGTCTTAATAAAACAAGAATTAAATAAATTTGATCTTCGGAGGTGATAACAGGTTTTTAAATTGAGTTTAAGCAAGGTCTCCTAAGTTAAGTTTGAGCGTTATAAACTGGGAAAACAATTATATTGAAATAGATTTTTTCAATTGAGACCTGACTTAATTTAAATTTGGATTAGTTGGTAATACAGGATATCGAATAGTATGTTTAAAAAAGTTCAGTTTAAGTGACTCCGTTTGTGTGCCCCCCCCCCCTCCTTCAAAGGTGGATCCTAGGAACTCGTTTAAAGGCTCTAAGATGGAAATACAAACTTACCTTCAGCAATGGGTGGCACTGTATAGAAGTAAATCAAATTACAAAGTTGAAACTCTCCATTCATACAGCTACGCTATAGGACACATCCATTAGCTAGAATAACTGAACAGGGAAATGAAACAGATAGAGGCAAAAGCATTCAAATTTTGATGACTACCAGAAGCATCAAGACTAAATAGCATCATATATCAAACAAAATATAGAAAAGTCATTTTCATCTGAAAGTGGATGGCTTATTTCAATTCTTCTATTTTTTATTTCCACCAAATATTTCGGATGACGCACTATTTTATTTTTTTTATTTTTTATTTTTGGAATAAAAGACTGAAACATTGATATTAAATCCCAACAGAGTTACATGAAGTTATTTCAAACTTCTCAATTTGTGACTTCAAACCAGATATTTCTGATGCAAGTGTTTGAACTTTCAGTAATGACTTTGATCGGTCTGAAAGTACATTGTTGATGACTGGCACTGTTGTTTCAAGGTAATCATGCAGTGTTTCTTGCAACATATCATATTTAACCAACAAGTTCCATTACAAAATGTTTGGTGCAGTATACATGAGATGAACATCAAATTTGGCATAGAGAACTTGTTCACACACACCAGATGCTACACATTTCTCAGGTCAGTCGTTCCTATTGATTCTGAGGGAAAATTGCTTCTTCTGCCTAAAATTTATGAAGTTTCTCAAAAGCAAATCCTAATTTTCTCATTGCTTCACTAATGTCTTCCTCACTGAACACTCTCGATGCCATATTTGTACTTTCCAGTTTCCACCTTAGGCCTGGCTCTCCATTTCTGCTAGATACTCTTGCTGATGCTTGTTTTCGCCGTCCTGGTTATATGGGTTCATCTCCTAGCTTTGAGAATTGATGTTAACTATCAATCAACCTTCGTCTAGTAGAAGAAGCAACTGCTCAACTTTCTTGAATCAAGTTGGGTTGCCTCAGCATAAGCAGAGAAAACTCTGAAACAGAGAAATTCAGTTTGGCAGTTTGAACAGGTTAACCAGTAGTCTCGGTTTCAATCGGAAAGTTAAAACACAAAAAACCGGTTTTGGTTTCAAAAAGAGCATTTTTCTATGGCTTGCCCAGACAGCAATGCCTGCTTCTTTCCCTTAATTCTCTGTATTGCTTGAAATTTAGTTCCATTTTCTCTCTGCATTAACCTTTGATTATGGATGGATAAACTTGGATTTGGCTTAGAAACCAGTTTCAGCACCAGAACACTGTTCTCCGAAGATGAATTGATTTGGGAAGCTTTCTTCTGCAAAGTCTATTCCTTCCAAGGTTGCTGAAAGTAGAAATTGTAGTTTATTGTAACTTTTGATTATTACCCTATTTGGTCACCGTGAAGTGTAAAGTGTGGAGTGTAAAGTACCGGTTTCTTTTTTTAGGTCCCATGTAAAGTCTGTCGTCATGTTCACTGGCCAGTGAAACGGAGAAGTAAAAGTTTGCTGCCCGCCCGGCTTTTGTATCACTGTACTTTAATTTCAGAGAAAGATGCCATGTGATGTACCATCTCAGTAAATTCAGTATAATAATATTAACGGAAAAGTAAGATCAAACTCAAATTAAAATCTAGAATCTCTTATTGATAAGAGCCGGCCTAAGATTATTACGCAGTTTTTGTTATTCAACTGAGACACACACACGCGGATTTTTGATGATTGCTTGCATTGCAAGCCAAACATCTTTGACATACTCATCTGTGGATTGATTTTTCTTTTTGTTTCTTTTTTTCCAAAGAAGTTTTATGTACTCTTCCAGTTTTGACTAATGTTTGCTTTCCACAGTCACATTGACAGTTGGGCACTACTCAACTTTCTATCCTGATCTCAGAAAATTCAAGGTTGATCAGACAGCAAATAGGAATGTAAACGCGTTGGCTATCAAAAAATCTATTAGCAGTCCAATTTAATGGAACACCAGCTGTATGTTAGATCTGGCTAATTTGGCATTTTGTATCAAGGATTAGTGCAATGATCCATTGCCAAATTATTGAGATTCGAGTTAAAGTTTTGCTTGATATGCTGCAAATCAACCATGTGGCCCTGAATGCTTTTTGTCACTCTTGAAGTAGCCTGTAGCTATTATGCCTTGGCTGATGCTGGTTGATGTAAAGTGAGTATTTTTGGGCAAAGTCACACCGATATGACAACTGTTATTTGGTTGTCTTTGTTTCGGGGGTTAAAAAACTGAATATTCAACACCCAAATAAGTCAATGTAACCACAAGCATATTATGAGGCAAAAGCAAAGATTATTGAGTATATTGCTGTGGGATGAGTATATGTTACTCGAGCTATTTTACAGGCGTCCAATTTCCATGCTCATTCCAAGGATGAACACCATCTTTGGAATGAGATTTGGACTATCTAAATTTTAATCTTAACAGTCCAAATTAAATTTAGATAGAGTATTATTGCATATTATATTTATTAAAAAAAATTTATAAAATCTGGATGATCCAAATTAAATCTAGATAAAATATTATTATATATTATATTTATTAAAAAATTTATAAAAATTATAAAATAATTTTAATAATTTTTTTAATTAATATAGTCTAGATTTAATTTAGAAGATATAATTTAATATTTAAATTTTTAAAATTAATGTATATTAATTATTCAGATGTATTCTATATAGTTTTAAACTATACAGAGTATATTTAGATAATTAATATACATCAATTATAAAAATTTTAATATTAAATTAGACATTTTAAATTAAATTTAGACTAGATTAAAATAAAAAATTTATTTAAATTATTTTATAACTTTTATAATCTTTTATTTAAATAAATATAATATATAATAATATAATAATATTTTAAATCTGAAAATTTGGATAGTTTAGATAGACATAAGTAGGAAAACTAATTCTTATTTTAGAGAACAGACAGTGAAAGAAGGACAAAAGTCAAAGAAAAATGGAGAATTTCTGTGTCCCGTGGTCTGAATAGTGAAAGGAAAGAAAAACAAAATTCAGAAGTCAAAACTCGTGCACGAGCGCGCGCGCGCACATATATAGTATATATGAGGCATATGCAGAATTGAACAACCGTCAGACTTCTCGTATCTTATAATTTGGATAATTTCTATGTATAGTTAATATCAGCATTTTCAGAGATACTTGTGTGACTGCTTATCACACCACCAGTTCAGCAAGCTCTGCAGATTACTGCATATGTTAAAAAAGCCACTTTAATGTGCTTATAAACTAATACTCTATATACGGAGTGATTAAAAGCGAGTGAGAAAAGTAAAGGTAGAATTTTTTGCACTGTTTTAGGCACAAACAGGCACTTATGCTGCCAATAAGATAAGACATTGGATCCCATGAGAGTGAAGTGCAAATAAAAGTTGATGCAACAGATTATAGCGACTTTCGACCTTTCACTGCAAGGAGGGCCACATGTAAATTCAAAGGCACTATATATTATAACATGTGCACTCTCACAGAAAGTAAACCCATGATGCATATATATAATTTTGAGCGTGATCTTCAACAAGCTAAGGTCCCATTTCAAGAAACACGACAATATTATGGGTTTGTTGTTCAATCTCATGCAATCTCCACATCATTGCTTTTGGGCTACATCTCTATATCTAGAACAGTAAAATCCAAGCACTCACTGACTGAATTCTTTTTTTTTTTTTTGGATACCTTTAGGAGGCCAAAGTGTCATTTATTCTAAATGAAAAGGAACCAGATAATTTAGGCATCTACCTCAAGAATTATATAACTATTTCGGTAATTTCATATTGTATAGAAGGTTTTTTATCGACTTTGGAGATGCAAAAATTACCGCATAATCATATCAGAAGATGTTCTTTATTCATTCAATAAATATTGCTGAACCAGACCACCAACCCCTATCGATATAACAGAAAACAGTGATAATAAAATTAAATGTACAAAATATAATTAAGCACCTACTTATAACCGCATGCCCAGTACAACATTGACAAGTCAAATAACGAAACCTAAAATTAATAATAAGTAAGATTGGAACGTAAAGGAAACAAGGCACCGGCAAAATTTGACTTGGAAACCATTAGTAATTCTTTTGTTTCTGCTAATCTGTCAATTTTTTCACCACTCTTTGGCATTATTTTGAGAGTGATTACTTTAACGTCTTTGCTTCTTAGGAATCTATAAAATGTCAATGTATATAACAAACTCTACCAACTTAATAATTTCAATAAGCGTGGCTCTTTCTTGTTCACCAATCCAATACTAACCATTTCAGCTGTGTCTGTTATATCCTCTTCCAGTTTTACATACATGATTTCATTCAAAGAGACCAATGATGTGTAACAACAGATATAAATTAAATCTCTCACCAAATATAATCTTTTTGGACCTGTTTTAATCAAATCACAAGAAGCCATCCTCCAAGGGTTCAGACCAGACCAGTGCTTAGTTGTTCTGGATAATAGGTTGACGTAACTAACTGTCAGAAGTAGCATATAATTGTATGTTGCCTATGGTTTACGTCACGAGCTGGAGGACATCATAGGAAGTAGCACAGACTAGTCCAAGGATTTCCCATACACTCATGCGTGCCCCACTACACGTTTCTGTGCATATGCTGGAGGGAGCTATCTGACGTCAAAAGCACGGTTTGGCACATGAGTTAGAAAGAGACATATCAGTGAATACATATATATATATATATATATATATATTGAAAAATTCCTTGCCATATGGGAAGAAAAATTCTGGTTCACTTTGACTTTGGTTGTAGACGCGTGTATGAATTAATAATAATATTAGCGTTGAAGATCAATGATATATCTGTCTCAATTAAGGTGGATGGCAGCATCATTGCTTATATATCCTTGATGCTTTATAAACTAAACATAAAAGTATACAAGTATATATAACAATTGTTTGGTGTAAGTGATCTGAAGGCATTTTTTTGTAAAAAAAATTACACTTAAGTAAACCAAATATCTTTGATTCATGGGTCAAACGATACTATTGATAAATCATGAGAAGACATTTTAGTCCAACAGGTGGCAATTTGGTTGCCTGCTAAATACTCCTTTCATTTAAAAATTTAAGATATTTTTTAAATAGTTAGATATTAAAAAAATATAAAATTTTTTAATTTTTTGAGGTGTAATTATTGTCTTTTTTTTTTTCAAAAAGTACCATGTTGATGAATGACTTTATATTTATTGAAAGGTGTTTAATAGATATAAATATAGAAAGATAAAGTTAGTTTAAAAGTAAACAATTACTTTATTAAGGGGTGATATTTGATTAAAAATATCTTATATTTTTAAATAGAGGAAGTATAATTTTTTTTGGTCCGTGATGGAATATATGCAGGGGCAGAACTAAAAAAAAAGTTCCACCCCCTTCCATAATTATATGAGGTTAAAATATCAACTACAAAGAAAAACACCAACACTCAGTTTTTATTTGATTCATCAGTCACGCTTGTGTATATAAATATATGCATGCATGCATGCATGTAATATTTATACTTCTTATAAAATATGCCTATTATATATAATATACTTATTATATATGATAGATATTATATATTATAAGATATATAATTTATTAATTTATTAAATATTTTTATTGATTAACATTAATTTTGAATTGATAAAAAAAATGATGCATGAAGTTTATACGTTCATATTAGTATCTTTTTCTTTAGCATGATAAATTAAATCATTTGAAATAATACATAATTTATAAGATTGTCCTATGTATGCCCAAATTTTTGTTTTAAAATTATATCGATTAATAATATTTAAGAGATAGTTACAAGGCAAAAGTGGTGGCTTAAAAAATCAACTGATTTTGATTAAAAAAATTGTATATATAAGTTTAAATATTTAAAAAATTATTTTTATTATTTAATTAATTAGTTTTAAATTACTTAGATTAATAATATTTTATTAAATTAAAAACTTGGCCCCCCCTCACATTTGAAGTCTAGTTTCGCCCCTGAATATTTGGATACATGCAGGTAACAGTTTTGAGGGTGACATGTTTGTGTTGTGTACATTGAGATTCATCATATCCAAGCGTGAAATGTTTGGTGACAGGTCACCTAATTTAGGGCTCTAAGTTGCTTTTTTCATGAGCATCTCTAACTAATTAAATTCTTGTTGGGTCCAATGAAATCCCTTTCATTCTCAGTATTCAGTTTATTATTCTATTTGCCAGTAGGCACGAAATATATAGTCCGATCCAAATTCACATTTGACGTTTCTTTCAAATTAAAGGAGTCTAATTAACAAAAATCATCATGCTCATCGTTTTCTGAATATCAATAAAACTGACATGATGACATGTTTAATACACCAAAAAAGGAGAGGGAGAGAGATGTTAAAAACTGAAAAAACATAAAGAACAAGGACAAAAAAGCCTAAACTGGCGTGGGTTCATTAGCAATCATCTATATAAATAATACTATTTTGTTTTTATTTATAAAAAAATTATCATTTTTATTTACTTTTTATATAAGTAAAATAACATATTTTAATTAATATTTATTATACATTTTTTAAATAGCCCCTCATAATTTACATTAACAAAAAATAATTAATACATATTTATATTGATGAACATAGGGTATTTTATTTTAATTTTTTTATTTTTAAATATAATTATTATGATTAACTAACTTTTCTTAAACTGTGTGATGTAATTGTTTTTATATATATAAAAATAGAGGGAGTAAGTTATTGCAGTTGCAATATCCTAATGTTAATTAGTCATAAAACTAAGTAATTTTTTCATTTCTATATATAAAATATTTTTAATCAACTCTTGCATATCAATAAAAAATTATTATTTAATTAAAATCACAATAAATTATAAAAATTTTATAATTTTGCCCGTCAATTAATATTATGATAGTGGTAGATAAAACGTTTGATTATTAATATCTCTTTTTTTTAAGACAATAACAAAACTATTTAATTATTTAAATATATCTTCTCTCATATTTAGAGATGAAATAAATTTCTAGAAAATAGGACATTTATAGGGACAAAAGGAGTAATTCAGCTAACCATATAGAAATAAAACTAAGTAATAAATGATGATAATATTAATTTGGTCCCTTATAAATTTTAATTAGGATATAATAGTTATAATATATGATACAAAATCTTATTTTTATTTTATATTATTTGTATTATTGTTATATATCAATTATTTAAAGTCAAATCAACTACAAATGATTAATAAGTATGATATATTTAGTAGCATTAAAAGCTAGAAATTTGAAATGATAATATTTTTTTATTTAATATTGTTATTTCTAGTATATGTTATAATTGATGTTTTATGATAGAGTCAAGTTGATGGTATGATTGACTTTAACCGTAATTGAAACACCTCAGATATATTTATATTTTATAGCATCCGAAAACGTCGGAAAATATTTAAACACGATTCATAATTTAAAAAACCCTGGTGTCTTTGTGATTACGTGTCAGCTTTGTTGACCAAAGTGTGATGATGTTTAAAATATTTCTTTCAAATATTTAATTAAATACTGCTGGAAATATAACTTCCTTAATCACGTTGAGAAACATACTTCCAAAACTACTATCCAAAATAACAACAACAAGAATGACTTATTTGATGCCGACATGGTTAAATTATGTTTGCTTTCTGCTGGTGATTTATGTAGTCCGTTTGAAACCTATCAATCGTATATAATTTAGTATACTGAGAACTTGACTTCATGCTGAGTGAGGATCAAACTTATTGCCTTTGGTTGATCTTTTCGAATTGCTGTGTGCGTGCGTGTGTGTGTGTGTATGTGTGCGCGTGTGCGCCTTGAAATATATATTAACGAATGGGTAAAAGAAAAAATAGAACTAATCTTGTTTCTTTTCACGTGAAAGCCAATAGAAAATGAAGGGAGGGGAAAAGGCAAGTTATTAATTAGTTGAGCAAATTTTCAAAAATAATGATGCTGGCTAGCTTTTGGGAAAAAAATTCAACTTTTAAATGAAGACTTGTGAAACAAGCATTCATGAGAGACTAATAACTGGTAGTGGGTGCAACAACTATACCATAGGTTTGAAGCAAGTTTGTCCTCCAGTCTGACCATCTATGCCGTATCAAAATTAATCAACCTAATCTGCTATCTATATAAGGGCCCCTTGTTCTCTCCCCTCATCTCCAACTCAAACCTTAACCCATAATCATCCATACAAATTCAGGTCTGATTGCACTACTCATGGAGGCCCTCAAGACCATTCATAGCTCATCCATTTTTTTACTCATTCTGTTCTTTCTAGCTTCCGCATTGTCTTGTGTAAATGCCAGAGTTCACAAGCACCAGTTTGTTGTATGTTCTCTCTCATCGCTCTCTTTCAGGATCTTCATTCCTCTATACTTGCATGTTGCTCTTTTGTTTCTAACAGTTAAGGCATTGAATTGATGAGCATAGGTTGAAGCGACTAAAGTGAAGAGACTGTGCAAAACCCACAACACCATCACAGTGAACGGCCAATTCCCTGGCCCAACTTTGGAGGTGAATAACGGAGACACTTTAGTCGTCAAAGTCACCAACAAAGCTCGTTACAACGTCACCATTCACTGGTACTTACGTGTTCTGTTTTTTGCCCTGCCAGCAAGTTCATGCAAGTGTGAGATATATATATATATATATGGCTGGCTGATCTGATAAATATATTGATTGGTTGGTTGATGTTAATTAGGCATGGGGTTCGGCAAATGAGAACCGGATGGGCAGACGGACCAGAGTTTGTGACACAGTGCCCTATTCGTCCTGGAGGAAGCTACACTTACCGTTTCACAATTCAAGGTCAAGAAGGCACACTTTGGTGGCACGCTCACAGCTCCTGGCTTAGAGCTACTGTTTATGGAGCTCTCATCATTCGTCCCAGGGAGAGAGAGCCCTATCCTTTCCCTAAACCAAAGCACGAGACTCCCATTCTTCTCGGTAATGAATGACTTTTTTCATTTTGGCTTTTTCTCTGCTATAATTATTAATTGCTTAAATTAGAGCTTGTGGGAGCTAGCCTGCAGAGAATAAAGGTGGTGGAAAAAATTTCTAAGAAGTTTGGGTTGAAAAGTGATATGTGTTTTGGAAAATAGTCACGATAGGAATCTTGATGTTTTCTTGGGATCATCCATGATTTATGCGTTGATGATGGTGATGATGATGATACAGGGGAGTGGTGGGACATAAACCCCATTGATGTTCTGAGAGAGGCCGCTCGAACAGGAGCTGCTCCTAACGTGTCTGATGCTTACACTATCAATGGTCAACCTGGCGATCTTTACAAGTGTTCTAGCCAAGGTTTCATTCTTTCTTCTTTCTCCTTCAATGGCTACATCAAACTATCATATTTCATATCATTAAACACTGCAAGTAGCTTTCATATCCCACAGAAAGTGACTGAGCCTTTATATATCCCTGCATTTAAAAGTATTTTAAGAACATCTGGGCACAAGTCGTTTTATTTGCCTTTAACTTTCACTGTGACAACAAATTAAAAATGAGTCGCTTTCTTGTACTGTTTTCTTTTTCTAATGTGACATAATCGTTGTTGTCAACACATCGCAGAGACCACCGTTGTTCCAATAGACTCCGGCGAGACCCATCTCCTCCGGGTCATCAACGCTGCACTCAATCAACCTCTTTTCTTCACCATCGCCAACCACAAGCTGACGGTGGTCGGTGCCGATGCCTCCTACGTCAAGCCATTCACCACCAACGTTCTCATGCTAGGACCTGGTCAAACCACCGACGTCCTCATCACCGGCGACCAACCCTCTTCCCGCTACTACATGGCGGCGCGGGCTTACCAATCCGCCCAGAACGCAGCCTTCGACAACACAACCACCACCGCCATTCTCCAGTACAAACCCGCAAAGCATCTCTCGAAAGGAGCCTCCGGCGTCAAACCGGTGATGCCCCCACTGCCCGCCTACAACGACACCAACACCGTCACCGCCTTCAGCAGGAAATTCCGAAGCCCAAGAAAAGCCGAAGTGCCCACAGAAATCGACGAGAGCCTCTTCTTCACCGTGGGCCTTGGTCTCAACAAGTGCCCGCCCAATTTCAGAAAGAGACGGTGCCAGGGGCCCAATGGGACTCGATTCACTGCGAGCATGAACAACGTATCTTTCGCGCTCCCCAGAAACATCTCCATCCTCCAGGCCCACCAGCTGGGAGTCCCGGGGGTGTTCACCACCGATTTCCCGGCCAGCCCTCCGGTGAAGTTTGATTACACCGGTAATGTCAGCCGTTCACTCTGGCAACCTGTCCCTGGAACCAAGGTGTACAAGCTCAAGTACGGATCAAGGGTTCAGGTTGTTCTGCAGGACACTAACATCGTGACCCCCGAGAACCACCCGATTCATCTTCATGGATACGATTTCTACATCGTAGCAGAGGGATTTGGAAACTTCAACCCCAAGAAAGACACCGCGAAATTCAACCTCGTTGATCCGCCTCTCAGGAACACCGTGGCTGTTCCCGTGAACGGATGGGCAGCTATCCGATTCGTTGCAGATAATCCAGGTAAAAATCTGACGGAATCAGATTGTGCTTAATAAGTCTTCACGATTTGTATAAAATGTGACAACAATAATTGGAATTGAATCTGATGTGATTGACGTAATGCAGGTGCTTGGATCATGCATTGCCATTTGGATGTTCATATAAACTGGGGTTTGGCCATGGTGTTCTTGGTGGAGAATGGAGTTGGAAAATTGCAATCCATAGAGCCGCCTCCCGCAGATCTGCCTCTCTGTTAGTATCTTTTTCAAAGCATCAGGGCGGTGACTGGAGCTATGATATTTCTTAAATTGTTAGGGATTTCCCTGCATCCGGGGACTTTGTTTTTTGCTTTGTTTCTTGTTCTTCGATATAGATAAATTGTGTTTTTGTAGAGATGGCGACGATGTGCCATCTCAGAGGCAAACGCCCAGCTTGCTTAATTGCTATTCAATCAATGTATTCTTTCCAATATTTGGCCGTCTTATCACCACAAATTAAAGCTTTTAATATATTCTCCATATATTGTTTAAGTCGCTATGAATTATTTTACAAAGAGAGAAACGAAACATATACAACCATAACATTGAATTTATAATAAGAATAAAATTTAAAAATAATAATAAATAATTCTGTATCATATATCAAAAACAAAAAAAAAATGTTCAAAAATTTATGCTCTATGATAAAAATCAGAGGGAGTATGTATTTTTTTATTATTATTATTAAAATGAAGAGGTTATCATATCGTATTCATGATAAAAGTGACAAGCATTGCAACCCAAAGAGCACAGGTGACACAACCTACAATCTGACTAAGCATTCGCTAAAACATAGCCAATCAAACCAAAAATTATCAAGTATTACTATTACACTTCACTCCTATGGTGTGGTCTTCTCTGAAAGGTTTTCATTTGAAAATCAGCAATTATTTAACTTTTGGTGCCCTTCTAGCTTTTTATTTGTAAAAAATTAGTTTATCAATCAAAAGTTTTATTCATTAATTTATAATAAAATATATTTAAATATATCTTTTTTAAAAGATAGTTTGATAAAAAGTTGATTGGATTACATATAATAAAATATTTTTAAATGTATAATTAGTAAAAAAAAAGCATTGGTTTATAATAATGTATAACTTTTGTTACACACATGCGATAGAACTGTTTAAAAAATAGTGAAAAAAATTAAATATAATTTTTTAAAGCGATGTAAATGTTTTGTGTGGTAAATGTTTTTTTAAAAATAGATAAAGTCCATTTGATAATTTCCCCACAAAACATAATTTTTAATTAAATTCCTTGATCCTTGATAGTTAAAATAAAAAGTAATTATACAAAAATAGTTCTAAAAGTAAAAAAAATAAAATAAAAAAGAAAAGTTAAATGTGGAAGTGTCATTGAAAACTTTAGAGTAACAAAGCCATATAAAAAAATTAGAGGAATCACATTTTAAAAGTACTTTTCATAAGCTTCACTATATGACTTTTATTAAATCCACGTCCAATAACGTTTAAGAATTTCTCAAAAGTTAATTTAGAATAAAACATATTACCCAAATAATATCCCACATTTTTTTTATAATGATATCCCACATTTTGAAAATGAAAAAGCACTCCCAAAAAATGGGACGTGAGAACACAAAAAAAAAAGTTTATATATATATTCTCTCTATTAAAAAATATAAAGTATTTTTAACCAAATCTTACCTTTTAATAAAGTAGTTATTTGTTCTCAAACTAATCCTGTCTTTTTATATTTATCTTTATTTAATAGAAAGTTTCACCCTAATATAATATAAAGTAATTTATTTAATAGTAATATTTTTTTAAAAAAATAATAATATTATTTTAAAAAATTAAAAAAAAATTATATTTTTAAACATCTTGACACTCAAAAATAAATTGCATTTTTAAACGGATGTGGTAAATATCAAGCTTTAGGCCCACAGAATTTCCGGTCTTTTAAAAAAAAATAGAGTTCTCCTGAATCTTGAAAAGCATTTTCAAAAAATAAGCTCGTAAAAAAAAAGACATGTTGAAACTAGATTTTCAAAAATTTCTTGAGATGAGAGTAATAAATGTTTGATTGAGCTCCTTAAGCAAGAAACCCCAGTTGAGATTTCAACACTATCAGCCACTTCTACAATTCTACGTTAATCATATACTCCCTCTGGTCCTGTTATAGGACAGAAGTGGCAAAATTTCTTTAATCCTTTTTATAAATGATATTATTAAATTTTTATTATAAATTTTTTCTTTCACTCTCCATTAAATGTTGGAGAGAGAAAATATATTATTAAAATATTGATATTTAATAGGAACAAAGTTGAGAACTTATTAAATTTTAATATTATTGAAATATATATATTTAATAGGAGCAAAGTTGAGAATTTATTAAATTTTAAGACAAATTTAATGAGTTTTAAGATTTTCTTTGATATTAATAAAATATATTAAAAATGACTTATAAATAAGGCACATAAGTAGTAGTCAAAGCTGAAATCTATTAAAAAAAACCTTTTTTAGGCCTAAGGAGTGAGCCACCCCTTAAATCATAGTTTTTGTTAGGCAATGAGTTTCAAAACCCTGTGACTAATGTCATATTTGATATCTCCACCACCATCACTTTTGTCTTATTGGTCTCTCTATTATCTAAAGCTATGGTGCTCACGATATTAATTAATCTATGATTGTCTTTCATAATCAAGCATTTTCTCGACACCTCTGATTTGTTTCTTTTCCTAAAGCACGAAATCATCCAAAATTTGTTGGGTTTCTAATTCTAAGAGCAAAGAGAAAGCAAAAGAGCCCCATGTGATTTAATTTTATCGATCTATAAGATTGATATACAGCATTTATCATTGTCCTACAAGGGCCACGTGACTTCAATCCTGAAGGGTATCCATCTAATAGCAATTGAAGAAATTAGATGCTCTGCATGTAAACGTAATAAAAAAACAACAACATAAAAGGGATCTTTATAATTGTTTCTTAAAAAGTAATTCTAATTCCCATCCATTATACTGCTAATCTGTGTCTACAATGTCAAAAGTAAATTAGGTTAAATAAAAGAATATCCAGATCCAAAACTTTCGGAGGGATTCATCTTCGACGGATAAGCTGTATGAATGTTATTGAGCCAATGCCCATACTTATGGCCTCCACACTGCGTCACCAATACTGGAACTATTCCACCATAAAACTCTGTAGAAGACAACATATCTCCAAAAACCCCTAATGTCTCCACATTCTCCATCAAATTCAACATTTCCTCGTCATCCAAATTCACCATGTTGTGTCTCCTTCCTACCATCACCAGATTGTATTTCCCTTTCACTTTCCAAATCACCTCCAGCACCTCGATCCTGTCCTCTACCATTATCTCTTCGATTTTGATGTTGTTGTTCCCGATGCTCTCCACCTTGAACTCATCAATGAAGCTCCCGTCCAGCATGCTCTCTATCTTCTCATCTTCCTCTTCTCTCTTATCTGAGATTTAATTTTTCCTCCCATCCTTCTTCATCACAAACTAGAACAAGGACAACCTTATTTTCTCATTTGCCGTCATTCGAAGACTCAAAGACAGTGCCTCTCGATTGTCGGGTCCACCGATGAAGAAAATTCTCGTGTGGAAAGAGAACTGATCGAAGCTGTTTATGCTCATTTAGGAGTATTTGTCCGCGAGGATTCTTATAGTGCAGGGTAAGTAAATTGGAAGTTGGAGTTCAAATTGCGGATGGAAGCCGTCATATGACTACTAAGTGTTTGATTATTTTCATGAAAGGGTATAATAAGGAATGATATGTTCTCGACTTGTGCCAAGTTGCATATGGCCTCGTGCATTTGCTTGTAAGGAGCGACGTTGACGTAAGGCTGAACCTTGACTTGACTGTTGGAGTTTTAGGCATAGTTCTTAAAAGCTCACATGATATGGTTGGTGTTTCGATAATTGATGGACACCATTTTTCTACTTCATTTCTCATCCAAGGGAAGAAGAAAAGGTGTACTTTTTCCCAAGAGTTCGACAAAGCGCACCACGTAAAAACAAATTGGGCTATTTATGTTGGGATTGTAAACTTCCAGAAGAGCCATGTGGTTGTGTACATTCCCCTTACTGTATACACATGAAATAATGCAAAACTCTGAGTTTCTTATCATGTTTTGAATCATTCTCATCTTCATCTCTCCATTCTTGGTAGATATTTCTAGTCGAGCATGAGGCTTATAAAGTACTTTAATCAAAGGTGAGATGATTAAAGTCATTAGTAGCACAAAGAGAACTAAGACACTGAAGCCTTATTCATCCAGCACCTGTAAGAGCAATTATATCAGCACAAATTAGAATTTGAGATATTAATTTTCATTGATATATGGACAACAAAGAAATATGTATTGGTCAACCTTGAGTCTCTTCATTCAAATAAAAGCCATGAGCTTAACTATGTCCTTCACATTTAACATGAAGCCTAGCACTAGGCCATGTTTTGCCCTAATATCGTAAGATGTTGCAACAAGCAAGCAAGCAAGCACCTTCACCATATACCCGATGAATATAATCCCGAAAAGTGTCATGATTTTGCGCCATCTCTTAAGCTCATAGATATTTATATTGGTGCCAATGTACGTGAAGAAGAGAGGCATCAGAAAATGTGCCATTATAGTTTGAGTCTTTTCTATTAATGTTGTGCCTAAAGGAGGTCCATTGGGCATGATCAAACTAAAAAGTAAAGGACCCTGAAGAAAGGACAAGCCCATCACATCTCCTGTAGCTGCTATAGCCAAGACCCCAGTTGAATACATATCATGTATACTTCTTTCACTGGTTTCCCCACAGGCATGTTCCTTGTAATCATCAACATTATTGGTCGTATGAAGAATATACAAAAGAATATTAGTAACCAATAGCAGATCAAATACTCAAAGGAATGTTCCAAATCGATGGTCCTCGTGAACAATATGAGTAAAAGGGTTAACCATTGCATGGTGTTATTGATCCTAGTGGAGGACAGAGCAATCTAGCTGAGTTCAGAGGATTCAAGGTTGAGTTCCTTTAAGGAATTGGAAATGACGATGAAGTGACTAAATGAAATTATGGTGCTGAAGAAGGTACGAATGCTAGGGGATCTGATGTTTGGGAGCAATCTGTCACTTGCATAGACAAGACTTGAAACAACGGCTAGAGAAGTGAGGAAATGGTACGATGCCAAACCTCCAAGTTCTTTTTGCCGCTCTTAAGGTAATGGTTACGTCTATTTGCAGTGCGATGATGAAGATGAAATAAGAACCGGTGAAAGTAGACGTTGTTGCCAAAAATACAGCTTCTCTCAATGGATAAAGGGTGTCCCTAAATTTACTGTTGTGCCCAAGAAATGAAGGCCCCAATAACATGCCCCCTGTAAATGCCAAGAAGGAAAAGGTTTAAAAATTTACGACTAGTGTTTCATATAGCTCAAAAAGAAATTCTAATATGATGAAACGGACTTATGAGGATGCTGCAAATAAACTCCAGAGTTCGTAAAGGGTGAAGAAGAAAGTAAAAGAGATGAGAAGCAATAATGGCCAAGACGATCTAGACCAAGGTGACAGGAAGCACGAAGTCAAGTGGATTATCCCCATACCAGAAGCCGTGAGACCCCATACACTTATCATTTTTTGCACAAATACTTAATTGCCCATTTAGCTTAACTGTAATTGAAGAGTCAGCTTGTGTAAAACAAGAACTCTCCATCACCAATATAATCTCCTACTGCTGATTATAATTATATTATCTGATGTAATTGATGAATATCAGGTGATGACTAAAAAATTGAACTTTAATCTTACCCACACGCATGGAGGCATTGGGTTGAAATGGTGGTTTTTTGTAGGATTCTTAATAACTTTGAGGTCATAAGATAAAATAATTAGAAGTAGTTACTTCTCATTTGCTAGTCCTTCAAGAACCACGTACATGATCAACTGGCACCCAACTACCAATTGACTTGATTAATTCTTGACAGGAATGTGGGTTTGAGCACCTGTAAATAATCGAGAAGGGTCCAAAGAAAGCAAACTGTACATTGAAGAGGGGGGTTTTATTTAGACAGGTAGATCTAGACACAAAGTATATATGGAACATGATGTATATTCATTATTTATCTTGCTGTTTTGACCTTTGACCTCTACTCTATTCTAATTATAAATCCACAACTGCAAATTAATGTTAAAAATAAATTGTACATGTAGACATTTTGTGTTTGCAAATCAAAAATCAATATATTTAGAATACCAAATTATTACTTAACATTTGTTTTGACTTTGTGCCAATAACAAACCTGCAACTTTTTTACACTAATTAAACGTCAAATAATTATTAACAAAAGAAAGATGAGTTAGCGAAAAAGGAAAACAAAAGAAAATCAAGATGGGTCTAAACTCTAAAATGCTTATTGGCTGAGAATAAACTATAAATGCTTGGACCGAATATATACATATACATGCATGCATGCATGTAGCAAGATCAAAATGGCGACAACAGTAGTAATATAATTAATAAAAATAATTTTTCTACTTTTTGTTTTGATCTACCATCAAACTTTAACTCCATATATAAAAGAATATGTACACTTAAGTTATGAGCTAATTAACGGAGGCACATGAAAAACAAAAGATTAAAAGCTTAAATTCATCAACAACCGATCCAAACCCTATAAAAAAATAGCAAACTAATTAAGTTGGTTGTGTACATAAATAGACACAGATTCAACTCAACGAAAACTGCCACGAGAGAAGGCAATAGAACTTAAGCTACTATTCCTTTTCAATTGCTGCATAGCACATCGCATAACCAACACAGGAACCATCCCATTACAAAACTCCGTTGATGCCAACATGTCTCCAATAATCCCTAACGTCTCCACATTCTCCATGAAATTGCACATCCCTTTATCATCCAAACCCTCCATGCTGTGCTTTTGCCCCACCATCACCAAATCATAGTTTCCTTCTAATCTCCTTATTGCTTCCAATACCCTTATTCCATCCTCCACCACTATCTCCTCGCTCATCACATTCCCATTCCCTATACTCTTCGCCTTAAACTCATCTATCGCACTCTCGTCCCACGCCTTCTCTTCCTCTCCCCTCTCTCCCCCCGATCTACTACTAAAAATGTCACTTTCATTGTCGTGGTGGCTGTAACTCCTCCCATCTCTCAGGTAATCATTCCTCACCATGAAGTAAAACAACGAGATCCTTATGTTAGGACGATCTGACATTCGATTCCCTAATGCCAGAGCCTCCCGATCATCCGGTCCTCCCAAGAAGAAGATGGCCACATGGAAGGTGAGCTCTATCGAAGTACTGATACTCAACTGTGAGAATCGATCCACTAGGATGCCCACAGTGCATGGCGCATAGTATTGAAAGTTTTGGTTAAGGTCACGGATGGTGATGGTCATGAGACTGCCACGTGATTGGTCATTCTCGTGGAAGGGGAGGATGATGAGGGAAACAAGCTTGTCCTGTGCGAGGTTGCACACGGCCTCATGCATGTTCTTGTAGGGTGCCACATTGATGTAGGGCAAGACAGTGACCAGACCGTCAGAGTTACATGCGTAGTTCTCGAAGGCTCGCATGATGTGGAGGGTGATGGGGTAGTTGAATGATGAGAATCTTCTTCTTTTCATGCTCATGGGGAGGAGAAAAGGCGTGCTTTTGCCTAACAGCTCCACGAGATGCACCACATAGGCACAGATTGAGCTTGACAAAATCGGGTTGCAAGCCTCTATGAGGGTCATGAGGCTGCGAACATTCCCTTCACAGTGTATGCAACATATAATACAAAACTCAGGGTTTCTAAAAGTGTTCTGGACCATTCTTATCTGTCGACAACGTTTACTATTACTATCTAATCGAGTATAGGGCTTGTATAGCAGGTCAATGAAAGGATGTAGAATTGTAGATGTTAGCACCGTAGAGAACATCAAAAAATAGTATAGTTGGTCGTCCAATACCTGTAAGATCCACAGCAATATGGACACATATTATATTGATAATGGATAACATATTTGAAATATATATCACGGTTCCAAAATACTATGAGTTGATGAAGGAAGGATGAGAAATGAAAACCTCAACTCTCTTCATTCGGGTATAATTAATGACCTCAACAATGCCCTTCATATTGAGTATTAGACCAAGGACGAGGCCATGTTTGGGCCTGATTTTGTAAGTCAGTGAAATTAGAATGCACCCAATCACCTTGGCTATGCATCCTGCGACAATGATGAAGTTGATCTTGGAAATGACATCCCAATTCCAGATTCCAAACACATTTATCTTTTGGCCCAAGAAAGCCCAGGACAATGGAAGAAAGAACTCGTTGACCAAACTCTCAGTTTTTTCCAGTATGGTGGTGCCCAGAGGAGGGCCATTGGGCATGATCAAACCAAAAAACATTGGCCCGAAGAGGAAAGACAAGCCAATGACATCCGTGATTAATGACATGACCAGCACACTTGTGAGAATCAACACAACATATGCCTTCTTCACTGGTTTCCCTGTCGGAGTGTTTCTGGCAATCATGAGCAATGCCGGGCGTACAATGAATACGCCAGAAGCCACGAATGCCCAAAAGCTTGACAAGATGAGCAAAAGTGAATGAGGTTTGGATCCCTCTACTTTGCTGTGAATGAGATACAATCCTAGTAAGAAAAGCACGTGTGCAATGTCATTTATCATGGCCGCTGACAAAGCAATTTGACCTAGTTCGGAGGTTATAAGGTTGAGATCCAGCAAGGCTTGGGAGATGACGGCAAAGTTACTCAACGAGACATTGACACAAAGAATGATGCGATCACATGTGCTGGGAAGATCGGGGATGCTCTCAGGGCCATACATGTAGATAAGCCCTAACATAACCCAGAAACTGAACAGGGATGAAAGGATACCCAGCTTCCATGTTCTCCTCGCGGATCTTAAGGTCAATATTACATCCATTTTCAGTGCCAGGATGAAAAGAGCATATATGATTCCGACCAGTGATGCTACCGACAACACGTCAAGCTGTCTGGGCATGAACACATTCTCCTTGAATACCTTGTTGTTCCCCAGAAACGAAGGCCCCACCAGAATGCCCGCCTGTAAATTTTCAATGATCATGAATTTTTGCTCTAATTAACCACAATAAGCATGCATGCACAGATATTAAGGAAAGAAAAAACTTATGGAGGATGATATATGTATATATATGCATATATAAGGAGACATACAATGGCCTGGCACATGTATCTGGGAGTTTTGATAGGCCTGAGGACAAAAAAGATAAGTTGGGAGAAGAGAGCGACGAAGAAGACTTGGAATAAAGTGACCGGAAGTGAGAAGTCGAATGGTTTGTCCCCAAAAAATATGCCCTTGGAACCTGGACTTCGGTCATTGTAGAGACAAATTTTTATGTTTCCTTTGGCGTCGACATCCACAGAGATTATTCCATTTCCTGGACGATGATTCGTCGTCATTCTTTTTCTTTCTTTCTTGGTTTTTTTTTTTTTTGTTTTATTCCCAGATTCTCAACTTGTCAGCTTTCTGCAGAAAAACTTGAAAGAAATGGCCATTTTAGTCTGGGAGATTGCTGCTGTTAATTTCTTCGAAAACGTTTCGCCCACGGACACTTTCAGAATGTTGGAACGTGCGTACTTGCCCCTAGTGATTCTCTTGCTCTGCCATTATATTTCAAATTTAATTTTAGCCGAACGTTGCAAGAGCACTTAAAACACAGCGTTGATAGATGAATGGCCACTAAGAAAGAAGTGCATGCCACCGTACACTAAATAGAATATACGTACTCTTGCTTGTGTGGGCATGCAGGGTCCAAATATTAGTCAAAATCCTGAAATAGACCAATTTGTAACACTTGTATCAACAATCACTCTACAGCTCCCATGAATTTGGGCTAAAATTTAAATTAATGCGGTCAATAAAATATACCGATTTTTATATCTTGGATTGTCTACCTCGAATATAAATGAAGAAAAACTCCTCAACGTGCCAATAAAATAAGGCAAAAAAAAAAAAATACAACCCTATGTTCATAACTTACTTTAATTGCGTCGACCCTATAATTCAATCAATATATTCAGCAATTCATTCAATATATTTAATACATCAAATTTTATAGAAGTTTATACTATTTATAAGTCAATCAAGAATGTGGAGTGAAAGAAAAAAAGAAGAAGAAGAAGAAACCATGAATATTAAGTGAACAGACTTGTGCGCACAAAAAACTTTAGCATTTGGATCCAATATAATGATATAAGAAAAAAAATTACAAACAAGCCATAGACAAGAAAATTAATTACCAATAAATCCTCTAAATTTGATTTATTATTAATAAGTTTTCTAAAGGACTTATGAACAATTATGTAAAATAAATTGTAAATTTTTAAATTTAACTTGTAAATACTGGAGGAGGACTTGTAATATTCTAAGCTATGAAATTGGGAAAAAAATTACCAGTTCTCTTGTCATATTTACGAGTCAAAGTTAGAAATTCACCATTTATCTTATGTTAACCTATCAGTAATAAGTTAAATCTAAAAAACCTATTAATAATTTGGCCAAAAAAACCTATTAATAATTAATTTCATTACTTCGAGACTTTGCTGTAAAATTTCCCTATATTTATTTCATTGATATCACATTCAAATTGGAGAACCATAGGATTTGTATGTGGGAGAACGATGATAGTTAGGTTTTTATTTTTTTTAAAAAAAATGAGTTATGAATATCGATATAGACAATTAAAATTCTCTTAAGTCCTAATTATAGGACATAGTTTTAAAATCTTATTTGGTCTTAAACATATGACAAAGGTATAGCAATCAATTTTTTTAAATATTACCTCTCATTAATTTTATCGAATTATAATTCCTATACATACGTTATTGCAATAATTATTTGAATGTTGATAAAAATTGGAAAGTCAAACATTTTTTATAAGTTTAAAAATATTAACTATCATTCATTAAGAATTGGTTAACTTTATTTTATAATTAGGAAGGGAAAGAGTATTATTCCAATTTTAAAAGTATGTGTTAATTGAGGAGTTTTTATTTATTTATTTTTGGCCTGAAGTGTTAATTAAGGAGTTTGCAACAATATTCAATGTAAAATTTTAATCTCTTTTATCTCTCACGTTAATTATTTTTTCTCGAACTACTTTTGTTTACAATTGCAAAAATTTTTCACTACAAAAGAATTTTTTTTTAACCAACACTACAAAGGAAATTAATAAATAGACTGAATTAAATGGGATGTGTATTTAAGAAATTAAAAACTATCACTTTTTATTGATGCACGCTATTTGTGTTTCTTTTTTTATATTTTTTTTGGGGTCTTGAAATGTGTGTTATCGTGGGGAAAAAGTATAGGGAAAATGATAATTAAGTTTCAAATGATCAATTTTATTTAAGGTAAGTTTCAAGATATTTTAAAAGGTCAGTTAAGTCTTTAAGTTCTTGAGTAACATTTTAGTATAATGAGAAATGACCGAAATACCTTTATTTGGCTAATAAAAATTTGATATTGCTCCTTCTCTACTCTTCCCTGCCCTGTCCGTTGTTTCTTCCCTACCTTGTTGGTTGTCTCTTCCTTGTCTCATTGCAAGCGAGTAAAGCTCTCTGTCGTCTCTTCCCTAGGCTATCAGTAAAGTTGTCTGTCATTTCTATTCTAGTCCTGTTTGACGTCTCTTCTCTGCCCTAAGTGATCAGTTGTTTAGGTCATTAATCTGTAATCTATTTTGGTCATTAATCTTTGATGAGTGTGATGCATTTGCCTAGCTGAAGAGTCTGATCCTCATCAACATTCACTATTTTGATTATGCAGAAATTGCTTCTTTTTCAATTTTTTTTCCTGAGTGTCTTAGCTGAAGGGGACTATGTAGTTTGTACAAGTGAGGACATGCTCAAATGGATTTTAAGTTTGAAGTTATACATTGTACTCAATTAATTAAGTTTGCAACTTTGTAACTCTATAATTTATTTTCACAATTTTATTCCCAACTTCTAATATTGAAACGTATTTGTAATTTTCAAGTTATACATTATACCTAATCAATCAAGTTGCCAAGCAACTTAGGTACCTAGTTTTGCAATTATCTCGAGACAAATTTGCCACTGCTTATCAAAATTTTGGGTGGAAGAACCATTGAATTCTTAAGAAAGTTATTATTTTAGGACAACGCTCCAGTAATTTGTAATTCAGATGTCAAATTTTGCAACTTTCTTATGAATAATTTGTAACTTCTTTTCAAAATTTTAGATGGAAGAACTATTGAATTCTTAAAGTTATTATTGTAGAACAATGCTTCAGTAATTTGCAATTGAGACACTAGATTTTATAACTTTTTTACAAATAATTTGCAACTCCTTCTCAAAATTTTGGGTGGAAGAACTATTGAATTCTTGAACTTGCAAAGCTATCAAATTATTTTAAGACATGGCTCCAGTAATTTATAACTGACATACAAAATGTTGCAACTTCGTTATAAATAATTTGCAACTCCTTCTCAAAATTTTAGGTGGAATAACTTTTGAATTCTTGAACTTACAAAGCTATCAAATTATTTTAGGATAACACTCTAGTAATTTGCAGCTGACATACCAAATTTTGCAACTTTATTACGAATAATTTGCAACTCCTTCTCGAAATTTTGAGTGGAATAACGTTTGAATTCTTGAACTTGCAAAGCCACCAAATTATTTTAGGATAAGGCTCCAATAATTTGCAACTAACATACTAAATTTTGCAACTTCCTTACGAATAATTTGCAACTCATTCTCAAAATTTGGGTGAAATAACTTTTAAATTCTTGAACTTGCAAAGCTATCAAATTATTTTAGGATATGACTCCAGTAATTTACAACTAACATACTAAATTTTGCAATTTCCTTATGAATAATTTGTAACTCATTCTCAAAATTTTGGGTGGAATAACTTTTGAATTCTTAAACTTGCAAAGCTATCAAATTATTTTAGGATATAACTCCAGTAATTTGTAATTGACATACCAAATTTTGCAACTGCCTTACAAATAATTTGCAACTTCTGTTCAAAATTTTAAGACAACACACTTTTAGTGATTATAGAAGATATGAACTGCACATATAAGCTACATGTATTAATTCATTTAATGCATCTGCACATATCGGTTGTCCACATAAACAAAAACATGAACTTGAATTTATAAAAGAGGGTTTCTATGTACCAAAAAAATCTCCCAATACTATCAATATATATGTGCAAAAACCTATATATGTTAACCAAATCTAACTTAATCTAAAACTACCCATATATGTATATCACCCAAATCCAAATTCATGTGGTAACCCATTTACAATAACATTAACTTGGATTTGAATTTCTATACCTTTTCCGTGTACAACCTATATCATAACAATGAGAACAATGATAAACCTTCTTCTGCTGATATTGGGACTCAATCTTCACACGACGAGGTCTACCAGCTCATCGAGATGTTATAAGAGGCAATAAAAAGGTTTGGTTTATGAGATTAGATACTGTCAATGCACTTGGTTTTGATATCTCATGGGTCTCAACATGATGCATAGTATTATTGTATATTTTCTCCTATGAGCTACGAAGATAACATGCATAATACAATACTATACTTGTAAATTGCTTATTTACAATCATCAGCACTCGCAAAAATTTGCCCAAGTCTTACTAGCAAATCCTTCCACTTTGTTGCATTTAGCTCAGGCATTGGTGTTGGGATACTTTGTATTGCACATGGTAGAACTTCAAGATCTTATATAGCATATGAATTCCCAGCTGAACATCCTGCTTTACATTTCTATTCAAATCATGTTTATTACTACCATTCATATTCATATTAACATAATAGTAATCATGTAATTATTAAAAAAACTTACCCATCAATTGAATCTCTTGTTGCCTTTATACTTTGCTGTATCTTCTCAATGATGTACACATGAACAAAATTATCATTCAATTTTATTAATTGATTTATCCCTTCATCATCTTTAAAGTCTAAAAGAGCATTACAATCAAACTTTACTGTGTACTTCAACTCTATTCCATTTAAATCACAATTCAAGCATAATGAAATCAATATAACAAATCCTTCAAGAGACATTCATTCTCTAATCATTCTTCCATTACAACTCCCCCCATCATAATGCATTGTCTCATGCATATCTTTTACAATATTTCCACTAAAATGAAAATAATAAAATTTTTTTTTGAAACAACTACTTTCCATCGTACCCAATAATATTAACATGCAATAAACAAAATAAAATATAATAATATATAACTTATAAACAAGTTACTTTTGACATAAGTAATTTTTGCATCAGTGAAATAGTGACAACATTCCATTTTAAGATATGGACACTCAATGATAAATTCTTACACTTTCTGTAACACACCAATTTTTTTTAATAATTTAACTCAATTATAGTAGGGTTACAGCCACCCAACACATTTTATATCAATAAATTTAATATAAAAATCTTTTATAATTAGCTTAAACTTGCACAATACAATATTTTAGACAAAATTTTACCTCCCACATGCCATTAGGCTAAATCACATTTGTTCATCCTTATACTCCCAACAAGTAAAATAAATAATTTAGTAAATTTTTAAAACAAGCCAATTATTTGGCCTCATATTTATGCCATTTAATCAATCCAAAATAAACTAAATATTAAATTACAGTCATCTAAAGTGTACTAAAAATAAAAATAGTTTGAAAGACATAATTACATTTATATATTCATATAATTGTCAATAAACAAAAAGTCCTAATATTGACAATATAACACATTATAAATCATAAATCAAATACCCAAAAGAGACAGTGAATTTAAGCCACTAAGCCTCTGGGACTCCTCCACATGTCACTCATGGCTCTTCTCCTGAAAATTGTTAACCACATAATGAAACTCAAAAGTCTCAGTAACTATAGCTAATTTATGATAGTATATACAAACAGTTAAGTGTGTGCTTATTAAATGAGAATTAAAAATAATATAATCCCAACAAATATAAAAAATATTACAATACACACAAATAACCATCCTTATATCCCTCTATTAATCTCGAGCCGTAGCCCTCACTTGGTGCTAAATTACCCGGCCAAAGGTAGATTAGTCCGAGCCCTTACAAGCCACCTATTGAGCTCCAATAGGGGCGTATCACGTGGCACATAAATACAACAACAATAACAAGTCTCCCAACACCTCCCACAATAATCAAACAAATTCATAATAATATTGCACAATTATACAATATTACAAAATTCATAATTTTCTCAATAATCACCCAATTAACATGAAGTAACACTAATCACAAATTAAAAGCATGGTTACCTCGTGGCTTTTTCAATAAATTATTCCTTATAATTTCTCTCCCACCACAATCTTCACCAATAATACAATCTACAAATAACATATTATTTATAAATATTAGTTTCAATTATTGAAACTAATAAAATAATTCTAATAATAGAATTAAAAATATAACATAATTCCTAATCTCAATCTTAATACAAATCTAGAGTTAATACTATTAAGTAAAATTTTTTAACTCCTCTTTTACTCATCAATAAACATTAAAAATCTAAAAATCAAATTTTAAACTAATTTCTATTATCAAAATTTTCTTTTTATTTCATAAATTCGCACCTAAAATACTCAACAATTAGAAATTGAGTCTAAAGCTTAGAATCATAATCCTATAGCCATAATAATTCATTTCTCATCCCAAATAATCATCTAAACCTCAATAAATTAACATATATTTTCAAATTTAATAAAAATTTAGTCTAGGATTTGATCCTTAAGCCACAAATTCAAAGATCATCAACAAATTTATACTCTAGATTATTTATTATACTACTAATAATCTCAAAAACTATATTTATTCAATATAAATTCATTTCTCTTTCAAATTTTAAATTTTTTACCACCACAAAATCAAAAATCAAAGAGGAAAGATGACTAAAAAATTTTTTAGAATACATACTTAGTCTTGAAAAACTTGAAATTACACCCTAAATATCCTATTAAAAATTCTTACTTTAAAAATTTAGATCTTCTGCACCGGCGACTTTGCTCACAGACGCTCTCTTTTGATCGCACACGAAAGAGGAAGTAAACGAAGGAAAATGAGAAAAGAACGGTAGGTTTTTTTTTAAAAAAAATGAATGTGGGTCCCACGTCTTTTTTTTATTACTTTCTTCTTTTCTCTCTCTTCTTTCCTCTTTTTTTTTATTATTTTATATATGCATGATTGTTGCACGGCGCCGAAAGCAAATTCTCTTTTTCTTCTTCTCTATCTTTTTTTTATCCTTTTTCTTTTTTTATTATAATAATAATAATTTAATAATATTTTTTTACTTTTTTTTAATTTTAATTTAGAATTATATCCTAAGTTAGATTTAATGATCATCTCCTACTAATTTGCTTACCTCTAAATATTTTTTAAAATTTCTATTAACCTAAATTAACTATTAAAATTTAAATTGAGATGTTACACTTTCAGCTGCAAAATATTGAATCTTCATGCCAAATCTTTAAAAACATGAAATAAAATAAAAAAATCTTTTTATGTTTAGTTGCAATAAACCGTTCCATTTTTTTTCCTTACGAGAGTCATTTTGTAAGAAATTAAACCTTAATAGAGTAAACTTTTTTGTTCAGATGTAGGGATTTGAAAAAAAAAAAGACACACCTATCTAAATGCACCAATACAACTCCTTAAAATTTCTTGAGTTAGTAATTAAGGCAACTCCACCTCTTCCAAACACAACTCTGTTTTAAGAATGATATTCTTCAATGTGCAATTCCACCATTTACATGCAGCTTTCATTAATGAAGGGAGAGAGACAAATCGAAAGGAAAATGCTAGAGCTGATTAGTGTACATGTTATATTTAATTATAAAGATATTTTCATCATTTTTTATAAATTTAATTTATCAAAAATAATATAAGACTTAACTGACGTTTCAAAATGTCTTAAAAAAATCCTTAAGACTTCATTGTTATTTTATCAAAAGTATAAACCTCAGGCGTCATCGCATTGGGTGGGAATTTTCTAGTTTTGAAAACCCTGCCACCGAAAGGAAAATATGAAATCAATCAGAGTATATTAGAACGGAAACGATCTGTTGAAAGTGCCTTCCCGAAAGCTTGGCTCCCTTCCTTATCGTCCTCTTGTTCCACTCCTTTGCTCTCATCCAAAGAGAATGCCAATTGCATTGTGTTGGAGGCGCTGAAAATTTTGAATTTACCCTGAAAAGCAACTCGCAGTGGTTACCGAACTTTCAGTAGCCGGTTTTCTCTTCAATCTCCTTGAGATTTCCTGCAAACTTGTAGATTCTGTCTTTTCTGCATTTTGAAGTCAGAATGACATCTGATGTTGTTAAGTGATTGATCGACTCGGTGAAGTCTAAAAGTTATTTTACCCAACGGATTGCTCTGTGGGAATTGTATTCAAGCAATCTTTTTTCATGCCGTGAGAGGTAAACTCTGTACTTGTCGTCATTTCCTATGTTTGGAAGTTTGGTTTTATTAGGGAGTTGAAAGGGGAAGGTTGAATGGTGTTGTATTTATCTTCTCTCTCAGCTCTTTATGCATACTTGAAGAAAAGTTGATGTTATTTATTCTTATTTGTTCTTGGATTTGGTCACAAACTAAAGTCATGGCCTTTTCACATTTTGCAGCAGTTCATGTGAATATTAGGAATACGGCATTTTAACTCTCATTTTCCTTTTTATTTTATTTTATTTTATTTTTCCTGATGGAATTCACGGTGAGAAGAATAAGAGAACAAAGGAGTCAACTGTTGCTTCGTGTTGCAATTTTGGGTCTGAGATTGAAATGTACTGATACAAATAGTTAAAATGAGAGAAAGTGGTAATCTGACACTTTTTCTAGAACGGGACCTTTCCTGCGGTCTGCCAACTGGAAAAAAAAAAAGGTAAAGACTTTGACGTCCTTAAAACAAACACATTGAGTCGGTCTTAGAGCCGGTAGATCATATTGAATGAGAGATGGAGACATGTTTTGGGATTTGAATTATCCTCTTGGCTAAATGGAGCCTATTTTTTCTGCACATGTTAATATTTTTTTTAATTAATGCCATGATGATTGGGGTTTTGTCCCCTGTAGGCCATCATTTAGCCTGTTTCTCCAAACTTGGTTGAAGCCTTTGTTTTCAGAAGTTTGTGTCTATTTTTGCTGCTGCTAGTCATCTCCTGTAGATGCTCACTGTACAAAATCACAGTCAATTAACTGTTACAAGCAATGTCGCACAAAAAGAGGAATTTATATCAATCAAAGCGTTCATTGAAATCTCACCGTAAGCCTTCCTCTTCCTACCATTTCTAGTCACATTCTTTGGTAGAAGCTCTTGCATAATATCATCTTAATCAACATTCTCTTAACAGCCTTTGAGGCATTTCTCTCTGGCTCATGGAAAGCTGTGGAGCTCATAAAAATTGAGGGGGGAACTTCAACACTGCATTTTATCAATAGCCAAAATAGAGTTTTGAAGAAAGGTCCTGATTCAGACATTCGGATAAGGTCAAGGAAAGCTACTCTATCAGATTGCTCCTGTTTTCTAAGACCTGGAATTGATGTATGTGTGCTATCAGCCTCTCAACAGGATGATAATTCAGGGAAAATTTGTCTTGAACCTGTAAGTGATCTTTTTAACTTGTAATCCTTTTAGTTGAGGTCCTTCAACTTTATGGGTTTCTTAGCTGAGTCATGAAGTTATCTTTTTGTTGCATTTAGACTTGCAAGGATAACAGCAAAACACTCACACTATTTCATTCGTTGTAAATCTTGGAACTTTCTTCATGAATGGTAATGAAAATGGTGAAAGCAGGAAATGATGTATTCATGAAGTTGATAAGCACCGGTTCTTCCTTGATTTTGGCATTTTTCTCACTTATTTGTTGAGGCAAATGTCTAAGATTCACTTATCTTACAGTCTCTCCCCATTCTAGATGATAGCCAAAATGAACTCATCTAGTTTATGAATGAGAGACATTGGTGTTAACATGTGTCACATTGCTAGGTTCATTATTACGGCCTTTGAAATGTTATCTCTGCACAGGATTAATCTACCCTAGGAATAAGAGATATTGGTTTTAATTTTCAACATTATCAGGCTCATCATCTATTGTCTTTTGCTATGTTATTTTTGCATGTTACTTGGTCCACTTGTAAAAGTTTTATATGTAATATTCATCAGGTTTATGAGTTGTAGTTGCTTGACTTCTAAACTTGACCAACTAAATCTATTTGTTATAGGGGTGGGTTGATGCTAGAATAAGATCTGTGCAGAGAAAGCCCCACGAATCTAGGTGTTCATGTGAATATTTTGTCAACCTCTATGTTAATCAAGGTTGTTATGATCTAGAGATGAGAAGTCTTAATAAGGAGAGTAAAGTGGTTGGAATAAATCAAATATCCATCCTCCAGAAGCTTGATCGCAATCCCTGTGGAGATCAGCATTATCGGTGGGAATCATCTGAGGATTGCTTTGAAGCACGAAAGACTAAATTGTTTGCAGGAAAATTCTTATCTGATTTTGCATGGTTGGTTGTTGCATCAGCTTTAAAGCAGGTCTCTTTCTGTGTAAGATCTGTAGAAAACAAGATTGTTTATCAAATTTTGGGATGTGAACGTTCAAGCTCTTCATTGAACTGTAATTCTCTTAAACAGGTAAATTTCAGAGTAGACAATGGGATGTTAGTACCCATTGTTGCTCATATCGTTCTGTCTGACGACAAAAAGATAGACCAAGCAAAAGATGCATCTGAAGATGAGATCTCACCAGTTTCTTGCACAGAGGGCTTACGGCGTTCCAAACGTCGTAACATAGAACCTGAACGTTACCTTGGTTGTGATGGTGTCTTTAAGTTGGATTTTGGTTCTGTTCGAACCAGTTTACCCAAGTCCAACACAAGTAAAGATGGCGTTGATTTACAAGCAAATTGTCTAGAAGAAGATATAGATGCTTGTCAAAATATCAATAAGATAAATACCTGCCAGGAGGTCCTAGTGAACAAAAGTGGGGCTGCAAGTGGGAAGGTGAAGTTAGATGATGTTGACAAAGAAGGGCATAAGACTCAACCTGTTAGTGATTCTCTGCCTGATGGAGGTGGTCCAGTAGCACATGACCATTCTTATCTCAACACAAACAATACTGGAAATTCTAGGCATGAAAATTGTGTTTTTTCCAAATATAATCATCTGACTCATTGCCCTAAACTGAACAGGAAAATTGTTGACCCATGGACATTTGAACCGTATGATCATCTACCAAAAGTTCCTGATCCTGAAAATTCTGCAAAAGAAATTGATGATAAATCTTCTCTATGTTATTCTGATACCCGTAACGTGCAGAGGAAGGATTTATATGGTCCGGAGGACATGGACACTGAAAATAGATGGGAAGGGATGCACTCCAATAAAGAAATTCAAGGAAAAAATTATCATTCACCAATGAGAAGTAAAAGTTGTGGGGAAGAAAGAACTTACAAAGACAGATCCTTAAGTGATGCTGAAAATTGTGCAAAAGAGATTGATGATAAATCTCCTAAATGTTATTTTGGTACCTGTAACGTGCAGATGAAGGATTTATCTGGTCTGGTGGACGTGGATACTGAAAATAGAAGTGAAGGGATACATTCCGATAAAGAAATTCAACGGGAAAAATATCAGCCACCAACAACAAGAAGTAAAAGTCGTGGGGAAGAAAGAACTTGCAAAGACAGATCCTCAAGTGATGCTGAAAATTGTGCAAAAGAGATTGATGATAAATCTTCTGGATGTTATTATTTTGGTGCCTGTAATGTGCAGAGGAAGAATTTATCTTGTCTGGAGGACATGGATACTGAAAATAGATGTGAAGGGACACATTCTGATAAAGAAATTCAAGAGGAAAAATATCAGCCACCAACAACAAGAAGTAAAAGTCATGGGGGAGAAAGAACTTACAAAGGCAGATCCGCAAGTCATGCTGAAAATTCTGCGAAAGAGATTGTTGATAAATCTTCTAGATGTTATTACTTCAGTGCCAGTAATTTGCAGAGGAAGGATTTATCTGGTCGGGGGTACATGGATTCTGAAAATAGATGGGAAAGACATTCTGAAGAAATTCAAGGGGAAAAATATCAGCCACCAACAACAAGAAGTCAAAGTCGTGGGGGAGAAAGAACTTACAAAGACAGATCCTCAAGTCATGCTGAAAATTCTGCCAAAGGTATTGGTGATAAATCTTCCAGTTGTTATTACTTTAGTGCCAGTAATTTGCAGAGGAAGAATTTGTCGAGTGGGGAGGACATGGATGCTGAAAATAGATGGGAAGGGATACAAGAAAGAACTTGCAAAGCCAGATCCTTAAGTGATGCTGAAAATTGTGCAAAAGAGGTTGGTGATAAATCTTCTAGATGTTACTATTTTGGCACCTGTAATGTGCACAGGAAGGATTTATCTGGTCTGGAGGACATGGATACAGAAAATAGACCGGACAGGATACGTTCCAATAAAGAAATTCAAGAGAAAAAATATTATTTACCAATGACAAGGAGTAAAAGTTTTACTCACAGTGAAGAAAGAACTTACAAAGACAGATCTTTAAGTGATGCTGCCTACAAGGAATTGATAGATTTTTACTTAAAGAATACTGACATGGCACCAACTAAAGAGGAGCCACCTATACCTGACCAGTGGGTAGAATTTAAGGCAACAAGCAACTATGGACAAAAGTGGGGGGCAAAACCTGATGGAGAAGTTTCTGAAATTGATTTATTGTGGAGAGAAATGGAAGTTGCATTAGCATCAAATTACATCTTTGATAACATAGAGGTACATTAATTATGCCTTTCTGATTTTTTATTTTTTATTTATTTTGGGTGGTTGGGGATAGGAGGAGTTTGTATTTTTGTCAGAAGAGTTTGGATTAATTTCTATGATTCTGCTAACCGGCAACCAGCGTTTCTTCCATTGTTATATTCTTTTCTAATGATTATTCAATTCAATGTCTTATCAGGATTCAAAGGCTGCAGTCTTTTCTGAAACTGAGGAAAATTCTGACAAACTTTGTCATCACGATTTTAGATTGAATGAAGAGATTGGAATTTACTGCTGTAAATGTGGCTATGTGAGCACAGAGATAAAAGACATTTCGCCACCCTTTGTAAGTTTGAATTTGAAACTAGTGAAAACTGTGCCTGTGCCTGTGCATGTGTTTGTGTTGAGCGCCCCCCCCCCCCGGGCCAAAAAAAAAAAAAACAAAAGAAAAATCTTGCATTCTGGTTTCTTTACCTGTCATCTAGATTGAGATAAGATGCATCCTGCCAATTTCTTCTTCATCCGCTGATCATCAAGCAAAGGAAGATTTGCAAAACCATTATAGAATAGAGCAAAGTAAAGGGTGGTCCTATTAGGAATATGCCTGTCTTCTTTATTGTGCACTTGCCAAAGCTCTATCAATTTAAAAGTTTAGTTCCGCATCTTAACCATGATATCCTAATTCTCTGGTAAAATACTTTTATGTGTTGTCAGTAAGTGTTAGGGAACATTGTTTTATCAGGTGCAAAACTTGGGATGGCAACAAGATGAAAAGCAGTGGAATGCTGCAAAGGCCAACGAGGATGATAGTTTACATCTTTTCTCAAATCATCCTTCAACTGATATGCCTGTATCTGAAGAAAATGATATCTGGGGACTGATTCCCGAACTTACTAGTAAGTTACATGTCCACCAGAAAAAAGCTTTTGAATTTCTTTGGAAAAACATTTCTGGATATGTGGAACCAGCATCTGTGAAAGCAGCATCAAAAAGAATAGGTGGCTGCGTGATATCTCATTCACCTGGAGCTGGGAAAACTTTTCTAATTATTGCATTTCTTGCAAGCTACTTGAAGTTGTTCCCAGGAGAGAAACCTTTGGTCCTTGCTCCAAAGACAACACTTTATACGTGGTATAAAGAATTTATCAAATGGGAAATTCCTTTACCAGTGTACCTAATTCAATCTCAACGTAGAGCCCATGGAGCATGCAAGGAGTCATTGGTTATTCCTGGTGTGCCAAAGCCCAATGGAGATGTCAGGCATCTTTTGGACTCTCTTGAAAAAATACAGAAGTGGCATTCACACCCGAGTGTTCTAGTCATGAGTTATACTTACTTTTCTAGGCTGATGGGAGAGAATTCAAAGTTTTCGCACCGAAAGTATATGGCTGAAGTTTTGAGGAAAAGTCCAGGGGTCCTGATTCTGGATGAAGGGCACAATCCTAGAAGTACAGAATCACGTTTGAGGAAAGCCTTAATGAAAGTAGAGACAGAATTGAGAATACTACTTTCAGGTACATTGTTTCAGAACAATTTCTGTGAATACTTCAACACTCTCTTCTTGGCAAGACCAAAGTTTGTTCATGAAGTGCTGAGAGAATTAGACCCCAAATATAAGAGGAAAAAAGGGAGAGCTGAAAGAAAACCGAACTTCATAGAAGCACGGGCAAGAAAATTATTCTTAGATAAAATTGCAAAAAAAATAGACTCTGGTGATAGTGATGAGAGGTTGCAGGGTTTAAACATGTTAAGAAAGATCACAAATGGATTTATAGATGTTTATGAAGGTGGAGGTTCTGATAGTCTTCCTGGTTTGCATGTTTATACATTGTTAATGAATATTACTGATTATCAAGATCAGCTTTTTCATGCACTCTATGAAAAAATTGCCGATTCCAATCGGTATCCCCTGGAGGTGGAGCTTTTGGTAACCCTTGGAGCAATACATCCGTGGCTAATTAAAACAGCTGCATGCTCTGATAAGTTTTTAAATGAGGCGCAACTGAGGGAGCTAGAAAAATGCAAGTTTGATTTGAAGATAGGACCAAAAATACGGTTTGTTCTGGGCCTTGTATATCGTGTTGTCAAGGAGGAAAAGACTCTTGTCTTTTTCCACTACATTGCACCTATGAGATTGTTTGTAGAACTATTCGAGAAATTCTTTGGATGGCAGTTAGGTTGCGAAGTTTTGGTACTTAGTGGGGAACAAGATCTCTTTGAACGTGGAAGAGTCATGGATAAGTTTGAGGAGCCTAGAGGAGCATCAAAGGTACTCCTTGCTTCAATTACAGCCTGTTCTGAAGGCATTAGTCTGACAGCAGCTTCTCGTGTGATTTTGTTGGACTCAGAGTGGAATCCATCAAGAACAAGGCAAGCTATTGCCCGTGCCTTTCGTCCTGGTCAGCAAAGGATTGTATATGTGTATCGGCTTTTGGTGACGGGTACAATGGAGGAAGAAAAATATCGCAAAACCACCTGGAAAGAGTGGGTTTCAAGAATGATTTTTAGTGAGGATTTTGTGGAGGATCAATCAAAATGGCAAGCAGAAAAGCTTGAAGATGATATACTTCAGGAAATGATTGCCGAAGACAAGTCTAAAATATTCCATGTGATAATGAAAGATGAGAAAGCTTCAACCAACTGATGTAAGCTAAATGCTTTTTTCCCCATCATCTGCAAGTCTGCATCATCTTTTCTTAGTTTCGTAATGTTTACATGCGCTAAATTGCATGCATGTTGCATCCACACACTTTCATGTGTTCAAAATTGCCATGACCTGCTCATGCAATTCCTAACATTGTTAGCTTATCACTTGGCCCTTTAGATCTCCATTGCACTAATGTGATGATCAAGAATATAGGCAGAGGCTATTTGCTACAAATTGACTCTCTAATGAAGATTTCTGGCTAATTGTATATTTCTTTTTGGCCTATTTTTAGGTGTGATTTACTTGGGAACTTCCCTGCAGGAAGGAACAGTAGCATGTTGCATGCACTTCTCTCGAAACATCAATGGGTTGCTTCTAGCATACCTATATTATATTATTAGTTTGACCCTCTCTCTCTTGGGTATGGGTTTTTTTTGGCCAAACTTTCTTGGGTGTGGTTACAATGTAAATATGTAAAGAAAAGGTTATGTATTGTACAAGCAACTTGCTTGAGACTATTGTGGCCCTGCGTATGCAATGAATGCGCTGTGAAGTATCTCATGTGATATAATGAATGTATTGCTAGTCCAAAGAAAAGTGATTCCAACAACTGACTGACTGAGTAATATATTTTATTCTTTCATAATGAATTTATTTGTATAAACCAAATTTTTTAAATATAAAAGTACAAAATTGGGATCAACTATACTCAAATCATTTATGGAACGTTTAGCTGGACGATTCTAGCACATCCTGGTTTTATGATTTCTTCCCTCTTTTCTTGAAAGGGATATATACATAAATACAGATATATGACGATGTTATATAATTATTTAATGCAGAGAAAAACGTGCCAAAGATGGGTGTGGAAAGGAGAGAAAAACAAAGTTGGTGGAGACTGATTCATTGTCATGGATAAGAAAGGACAAAAGAATGTTCAAGGGAGACATGGAATCATACCAAAAGTTTGAAGAGTAAAATAGACGGTAAAACCTATGTATGTTCTTTGTGATTGGCTATTTCTTAGTCTCTTGGGTTAATGAATGTTAGCCAATGATACGGATGATTAAAGTGAAAATGAGTATTATTAACAAACCCAAAGAGAGCAAAAAGTGTGAAAAGGAGCAATAACATTGGCTCGTTGGTGAGTACAATCACAGAAGAAAACCTTAGGCAAATCGTCACAGAAGGTTGTCAGCAATTCGGTTTCTCTCCACTTTTTCCAATTTTAACTGTTTGAATTTCTTTAAAATGTTAATTTTTTATAATATTTTTGGAAAAATTTGAGAATTGTCTACATTTATTTGGGGAAATTGTTGTCCACATCTATCCCTCCCCCCCTACTTGGGCTCATTTATTTATTCTTTATGATTCCCCACCCCCCCCCCCCCCAAAAAAAAAAAGTCCACATCTAATGTTAGATAACACAAATTCAAGTGTGCGTGTGTATGAGAGGGGGAGGGAGAGTTCTTCTTTTTTTTTTTTGTTTCTGTTTTCCGGCGCAGTTTCTCTCTCTCTCATTTTTGTTTTGGTCGATTCTCTCTGTCAATTACTTTTCTTTTCTTCGACCACAATATTGGCTGCATCCATGCAATCATGAAAATAATGCTTTATCTTCAAAATTCAACCTCTTTGGTAAGGATATATATATATATATATATATATTTATATATATATATATATTTATATAAATAAGTTAAAGATAACGCTATTATTTATAGACAAAGATGATGCTTTTGATAAAAGAACAAGGGAAAATTACATTCAAGATCTGAACTTGATAAAATTTAGGGCAGGTCGGTTTGAGGAAATGGAAAGGAAAGAATGGGGAAAGGTTGAAAAGGAAAAATTTGATTGGATGGAATCAATTGTTCAAAGAAAATAATATTGCTTCCAATCATTCTGCCCAGTACAAATAGCTATTAGTGTGGTTGACGGTAAATTTAGAGAAAGTGAAATTTTTAAAATGATGAAAATTTTCCTTTACTTATTAAATAGAAGCTTTGATTTTTTGAGAATTTGAGCGTCATACTTTTTTCGTAATTAAGGAATGATCTTAGTAAAATTTAGGTAAGTTCTATTTTTCAATATTTTTTGCATATTTTTAAATTTACCCTTAAAAATTATAGAATAAAATTAAATTAAAAATTTATTATTTTATTTAATATTAAAAAATAATATAACTTTTCTCAGATATCTTTTCCATTCCATTTTCCATTTAAAAAAACAAAAAACAAAAAAATAACTCTTTCTCCGATATGGAACAGAACCTCATAGATAGAGCCTAGAGATCTTAATTAAAGGTTCAAAACAATAATATATATACTTACATATATATAATAAAATCCACGATATATCATGTTATTTATAAATTATAAAAAGTACAACTCTTTTTTCAGAATATGTTAAAAATTTTCTGATTCTGCATACTCTTAAAAGTTCTCACTATACACTTCAAGAAAATGAGCTGTAAGAAGCAACATGATAAGAAACCTAAATTTAATGGAAAAAAATTTATATACTTAACTTTATATATTTAAAATATTTTTTAATTAAATCAAGATATGTATATCTATTATTAATTATTTATTCTATAATAAATTTTTGTTATTGATATTATTAACATAATAAAATTTACATGTCATGATTTGATTGGATGAAAGTATATTAAGTATATAAGCTTTGCCTAATTTAATTTCACAAGTCATAACAATTATTTTTTATTCTAATTTAAGGAAGGCTAATTGATAAGTCTTCAAAAAATTACTTATAGATTTTGTAAAATAAACTTATCTATAAGTAAGTCTCAAAATTTAGAAACCATAGCTACGTCTCTTGAAACTTGATTTTAATTTAAAATTGGGATACAAAAACAATGATATCCTTTGTAAAAATACAATAAATTGATTAAGTAATTTACAGCTATCATTTTAATTTTTTATAATTATAACCTTACATATTCAATAATTAAATTGATATTACAAGTTTAGTATTAATTTTATGCAATTATTTTATTAGTAATTTATAACTATTACTTTAACATTTTATAACTATAAATTCAAATATTTAATATTTAAACTAATCATGAGCTACTAACAAAATTTAATATTAATTATTTACAACTAACTCATCAGTAGTTTACAACTATCACTTTAATATTTTATAACTATAATTTTAATATTTTTAATAGGGGTAATATTGTTCTTGTACCCTAATTTTGATTTATTCTCAATTCCCTAATGACTTGATTGTGATTTTTAAATCTCATAAGACTTATTTATAAATAAATCTGCTTTACAAAGATCTATAAGTAATTTCCCTATAATTTTTTTAAAGGTGAGAATTGATAAATGAGACAGTGAGAAACTCAAAACACTATAGCAATAATCATAAAATTCTCTCATAACACTAATAAGTGTATACACTATATATTTTAAATTATAATATAATAGGTGATAAAACTAATTTAATGGTAATTAGATTCTCAAATATTTTGAATAAAGGTAAGTTGTTGCAGATAATATCTACTCACATGGTTCAAATGTATGACTTTTAGTTGCAATTTGCAAATTATTGGGAATGATCCATGAAACTTAAATGTCCTTACTCTTTAATTTATTTATTGAGCATATTTGTTCAAACTTAAGAAAATCATTTTTTATTACTTAATTAAATGATTTAATGAAGTTAAACATGAGGGATTTTTTTAATTAATCACTCAAGAAAGTCTGTTTCCGGATGATTTTTTTTTTATAAATAACTTGGATTAACTTTTTAAAATTATGAACTTTATTGTTCACTGATTTGATGAGTTGAGCTAAACAACTATTACTCTTTTAAATAATTTGAAAATTAATTTTTTTTAAAAAAATTAAACAACTAGGCCCATAACATTATGGAACCTAGTTGTTATTAAATTTGTCTTTTGAAACCTGTCGCTATTCCTCCAAATAATAGACTAAAATATCCGCTATAATTTAAAAAAGTTGTGTTATTTCTTAGTTGTAACATTAATAAATTGAGGGTTAATGAGCATTCTAATTATTTGAATAGTATCTTAAATTTTAAACTTTTAAAATGAGTAAAAATTTTCATCAATTTGTAAATTTTGAGTAAATTACCTCCCCGCCTATTGTTAATTTACATATAATTGCCGTTATTTTTAACTTAATGAGGTATAGTCAAAGGCTGATGTAACACTAATTATCTCTTGACATGTGGTATGACAGCTGGGTTAAATAACAATCAACATCATATGAATACTATTTGAATAATAATTTAAGTTTCAAAGTACTCATTAATATATATTTTTAAATTGAATAATACACTGTTATGTTCAAAAGTTGTTTGCAATTTTAAGGAGTCCTTGCGATAACTTTTACTGAAAGAAACAAGTTAAGAATTTGATGGCTTGGCTAAATTATTTACATCCAGAAATATATTTTCAAAATTAGAAGCGTGATGTGAATCAGATTTGTTTTGGAAATTAGTTAACTATTAAAAATATAATGGCAGACTCTCTCCTTTCCTATTCTCTCCTTTCCTTCTCCTCATCCCATCTCCATCATTAGATAAGGGATGAATGTTTCAGATTTAATTGTATCTTAAAATAATTATCATGATATTATATTAAAAATAAACAAATAATTTTAAACTGTTAAAATTTGTTCTATACAGTTTATAATTAATTGCACCTTTTTTTTATTTTTTTTCTTATCCCATCTCCACTCTTAAATAGCAGAATGAATGCTCCATATTTGGCTATATTTTATAAAACAATTACTATCATAATATCATATAAAAAATAAATAAATTTAAACTAAGACGGAGCAAATTATTTTTTAAATGATTCATTTTTTAAGTTGGATATTACAAAAAGATGGGATGAGGAGGAAAAAAAAAGAAAATAGAAAAGGAGAAGATTCAAACCCAATATAATCACAGTCTAACATGCAGAGTGTGTTTAGGAAACGTTGAGCACCACGATCTCTAAGAAATTAAGTGTGTGTTTGGTTTTCAATTTGCTAAAAGTTCATTTGGTAAAAATTAATTATTATAATAAAATTTATGTTTGGATAATTTTTTTTTAAAAAATTAGTTTAGCAAATTGAAAATTGTTTGAATTGTGGTAAAGATTGAGAAAAATAGAAGAGTGAGAGTTAGTTGATAACAAAATTATGCAAAGTACTTCCAAAAAGCTATTCAAAGTTAAGTTTAAAGAATGGACTTTTTGAGCTTTTTGAATGTGTTTTTTAAATAGACTTTGAAAACAATTTAAAGAAACCAAACACCTTTTACCTTCTTGAATCTTCAAAAGTCCTTTTTTAATGTAAAAAATAAGTAAATCATATGGACCTTAAGACATAATCTGAGCTACTTTCGTGGTTTAATTAGAAAAAATTGGTCTGAGAGATGCCAATGAGTGCCAGCAACCCTCCAAAAGCATAATTTTTTTGTCTAACATGTTCTATTACAATTAAGGAAAACTTTAAAGTTTATTAATCATGTTTTAAAATTTAATAAATTTTAATTTCATTCCTATTAAATATATATATTTTAACAATATTTTTTTTATCCAACATTCAATGGAGAATAACAAGAAAAAATTTGTGTTAAAAATTTAATGAGATGACTTATAAATAAGACAAAAAATTTTCTATCTTTGGCCTATAAATAGATTAGAGGAATTATGTAAAACCTCTAAAGTCTAAAAAAAAGGAGCTCCTGAGTCACTCGATGGTGTTCGTTTTGAAAGATACTATGCTTCAAGCTGAAGATTCGAGAGAGAATTATGCTTAAGAACTAAAATAAAAAATTATATATAAATAAATATCTTAATTTTTTGAAATTATTTGAGAGGACCAAAGTTAACAACTGAAAATTTCATGAGACATAATTCACCTTGTTTAATAGTCACCCAAAGGAACTTTAGTATTAAAATTAGGGAAATTTAATAGTCACCTATAGGGAATTGGTACTTTAAAAATTCCCTTTATGTCACTATAAAAAATTTCTGTTATATTAGTATTTATTTATTAATAAATATTTTACTTTTTTGAAATTATTTGAGAGAATCAAAGTTAACAATTGAAAATTTCATGAGACATAATTCAACTCGTTATGTTCAATTGTCATCCACAGGAATTTTAGTATTAAAATAAGGGAAATTTAATAGTCACCTATAGGGAATTGGTACTTTAAAAATTCCTTTATGTCACTATAAAAAATTTCCGTTATATTAGTATTAAATTTTCCATGTGTAGCTATTAAATGAAGTAAATTATCTGTTTGATGATGGACATTTCAGTTATTATATATTTTCCTTTTAAGAAAAGGACCTTGGCCTGTGGAATAATTTCAAAAATTTAATACCTATAAATTACTTGTCATTTTGATCCTTAATTATAGTTCTCCCAAGGTTAATCTGACAGTTTATAACACAGCCAATGAAACTGTGCGGTAATTTCTTAGACAATTCAATTCTCTTTTCGCCAGGACACACGGATTGGGTAAGTGGTTACGTAATAGTTTTTGTCCCTTTCACCTTCTATATATATATATATATATATATATGTTCCTTGTTGTGTAAATAACTATGTCACTCTTATTTCTTTTATTTGTTGAGCTCAACATCTTTGAACTATTCAAATTCAAATTATTTATATAAATTGTAGATAAAATAATTTCATTTTGAGTCGTCGCTATTACTTTTTTATAGAAAAAATATGGCGGCCCCAATAAGATAACCTTTGTGCTTTAAATCCGATGCAAGAGTATACTTTATTGAATTTTCATCATCACGTGAATTTCTAATTTTTGACTCTCGATACTCATATTCAATTTTGAATTTAAAAAAAATATATATTATACATCACTCTCGCGTGATTAATCCCGAAATCAATTCAGTGTCTTTATTATGGATCTCCGCTCAAACGAGTTTTTAAATTATCATCTATCGAATTGTTCACTGATATTTTATGCATTTCAACTAAAAAACTGCATAAATGTTGAGCAGTTTGCAGCTTTGTTATTGATAATTACGTATTCGTTTTACATATATATTTTAAGTACTTTCACATTATTACCAAGATTTTGTGAAATTTCAGTTAAAATTTTGAAATGATGGACCTTGAAAGCGTTCCAAGGCTACAAGTCTGAAAATCAAATTAATACATTTTTATAGACAAAAATTTAAGTAAATTGGATCTCAAAACTCACCAGAATCAAGGCATGCTCCAATTTTAAAAACCACTTAAAGAGGAATTAATAGATTGCCCACTAACAATACCATTACATCAGTAGCAGAATATATTCATTCGACATTAGGATATTATTGACCAAATTTTTATTAACTGAACTATTTTTTTAATAAGTTTATTATATGATTATCTGACATCTAGTATTATCAAACCAAATTTGAGTTATTTGTCAAAGTCTTAATTAAGAGTAGCCTTCCTAATGTGAACTACAAGGTTCCATCGTTAATTTTATTTAAGAGGAATTGAGAATTTTCTACCCAACTCAATTACTGTTGAGAAATAACATAATTAACACTTTAGCAGCCTTCATGACTTCACATTATGTTTTGGCTAAAATCAAGAAGTTTCGGCTAAACAGCTATTTGTATGTTCTCTGAAGGTTAGCATTAGCGAATTTCCTCGCTTAAAAAAATAAAAATAATAGTTAGGCCCTAAAATATTAAATTAATAACATTTAAACTCCTGATAAATTTTTTAAAAATAAGTTAAAAATATAGATATGAATAATTACAAATTCAAGAATTTCAACTACAAATAAGTATTTAAATATCAAATATAATTTTTAAATTATTGTAACAAGAATTTCTATATGTAAATGTTTAAATTAATATTTATAATTTAATTTTTTAAAAAATTTAACAGAACCTAAATATCATTAATTCAATATTTTGAGACTTAATTATTATTTTTTTTAAAAAAAAGAAAAAGGAATCATGCGGCAATTGTAAGAGTTGAACATAGAACGGAACGGAAGCAAACACAACGGAAAGAAATTAAACAATTTATTAAGGACCACGGCATCCTTGGGATGCTACTGATAAATTATTAAATATACAATTAAGTAAGACGACGCAGGGGGCAACGCCAATCTAACTTCTAATATTCATCTTATTTATGCAACCCAATTTTTAAATTCAAGCATGATCATTTTACTGAGTTTGACAATGCAAGTGTATATTTTTTCCGTAAATTTGTAAACAAAAAAATAAAGTAATTTTATAAATATTGAAACTAGTAGGATCTCATCGGAAGCATTAATTAATAAAAGATAAAGGTATATCTTTATCTTTAAAATATTTTTTAAAAAATATCTAACATCTTAATATTTTTATTAAAATAATATTACTTTTAAAGTAATAAATGCAGAGCATTTTTACCCTCCATGTCAAAATTTTAACAATGATTTCAAACATTAATTGCTAAAAAATTTGATGAAAATGTTAAAAATATTTTATTTTAATAATTTTAAAGGTAAAATTATTTTAATAAAAATGTTAGAGTACTAGATGTTTCTCAAGAAATACTTTAAAGGTAAAAATATACATTAATTATTAATAAAATAAAATTGTTGTTGGATTAGGCAAGGGGCAAATGAGAATTAAAAAGAGGGAAAATGAAGTGGAAAAGTTGGAAGTTAGAACATGAAAAAGAAGAAAATGCTATAAAATCAAATCCAAACAATTGCAACTTGCAGCATCCACTTGCAACTCCCGCGTAAGCGTAAGCTTCCCTCCTTAAAATCATCTCTCTCTCTCTCTCTCACATCCATACCATAACCAACCTATAAAAAATAAAAAAGAATAAAAAACAAATAAATACTAAAGACTTAATGCAAGTTGCACTATAACAAAAAAAAAATTAACCTCTACCGTCCACATATAACTCCATCTTTGCCCCTCTGTCCTCTTCAACCTCCTCTATTTTCCCCCTCCTTGCCGGACCGATTCACCACCACCACCACCACCATCGTCATCATCATGCCTTCTTCCCTTCAACTCCACCCCTTCAATCCCGGCACAGCCTTGGACTGCCACAAGCAGCCTCCACCGCTCTCCACGCGCTGCCTTGTCGTTCCTCTCTCCTCTTCCAAGCTTGACCTCCCTCCGGTTCCGGACTCGGTTCTTTTCCAGCACGCGCACGAGGTGGGGCTTGGCCAGTGCTGCTCCGTCGTGATCCAGTCCATCCACGCGCCCGTCTCCACCGTCTGGTCCGTGGTTCGCCGCTTTGATAACCCCCAGGGCTATAAGCATTTCGTAAAGAGCTGCCACGTCATCGACGGCGATGGCCACGGCATTCACGTCGGCGCCGTCCGGGAGGTCCACGTGGTGTCCGGCCTTCCTGCCGTGTCCAGCACCGAGCGCTTGGAGATCCTCGACGATGAGCGGCACGTCATCAGCTTCAGCGTCGTCGGCGGAGACCACCGCCTGAGCAACTACCGGTCGGTCACGACCTTGCACGCTAACGGGAACGAGACGGTGGTCATCGAATCGTACGTCGTCGACGTCCCTCAGGGCAACACGAAGGAAGAGACATGCGTGTTCGTCGACACGATCGTACGGTGCAATTTGCAATCCTTGGCCCAGATCGCAGAGAACATGGCCAGAGGGGGCCAGAAACCGCCACTGTCATCGTAAATTCACACATTCTGAAACTCTTCTCCTGGTTCGGTGGTGTATGATTCCGGGCTTTTTCTGTTTCGAATACGGGTACGGATCTCGTATCCGTCTGAGTCGTGGACATAGATCACCACATTTCATGCCCGTATTGGGAATGAACGGGTAGATCATGACTAGTTTTTTGGAAGGGTCTCGATCGACGGCAATGGTTGAATGTGACATATGTGCATATATAATAAATTAGTTATATATGTTTTCATATATAGACTTGTATTTTTTTCATTCCACCATTCACTCTGATCGAGGATTGCTTCCATTTGTCCAAAATGTTATCCCCACCCCGGCAAACTTGGTTGATTCATCGTGTCATGTTGGTGTAAATTCTGTTTTGTAGTGGACCTACGAAATTACAAGTTAAGTGATTTTTATCCGATTCACTTGTTGTTGGAGCCACATGTTTTTGCTTACTCTTAAACTATGATATAATTTACAAACTGTAAGTGCGCACACATTATATATTGTTATGACGATTGGATTAATTAACAAATGATTGTGAGAAACATAAGGATAAAACTGGTAGTATCAATTTAATTTAATTTGGGAAATCAGAATATAAAGACCCGCCGGGAAAAGCGCTGTAAAGTTTAGATTGTAACAGCCAAAGAGGAGGATCAAAACCTGGCGTGCATGTTTCAGCTTTGAAAAGGTTCTCGCCGTCCAAAAATGTTACCCATAGCCAGTCGGTTTCAAGTTTGGGGGAAATGTTTTTAACCAAGTTACAAAAGGCGGTTAAAATCAATGACACCATCTGGTTGAAAATATAAGTATTTTCTTCTCGTTAATCTTAGTCTAAAATATAATACTCCCAAACTATAATATAGGATATCTTTAAAAGTTTTGATTGCTCCAAAATATATAATTAATTTTCAACTATATCTCTACTTGTTTATTACTTTTCTTTGAAAAAGAAATAATATATTAAAATTTTAATTATCATTAACAAGGCACTTGTATGAGATATTTAATGAGGGTATAATTGAAAAGATGTAAAAAATTTTAAAAAATTTAGGTTTTAATTAATATTTTTTAAAAATTATAAATTAGTTACTAATAGTCCATACCTTATATTGTAGTCCAGGGACTAAATATTTTAGTATTTGTAAAAAAAAACTCATTTTATTTATTATATTTATTAACCTGAATTTTTGTATCTATGAATTTATGACTTTATTCTCTCTTATCATAAATTGAAACTAAAAATAAAAATAAAAAATAATATATATTTTCACAAAAAACAAAATTTGTATTGGTATAGTTGAGAATTATTGTTAAAATGTACTTATATTTTTGAATTGGATGGAGCAAAAATTAGTAATTAGTTCCTATTCATTTAAAATTATAAAGCACTTTTAACTAATTCACACATTCAATAATTTAGTTAATAACATTTAAAATTACATATTTTTTCATGTTTATCTTTGTTTAATAGATTGTCTTAGAAAAATTTATTAATTAGATCATTATTTAAGAAGTTTGTTAAGAGAAATTGTATTAATTACACCTTAAAAAATTCAAAATATCTTATAGTTTTTAAAAGAATACTCCCTCTACTCTTTAATATAAAATAAAATTAACGAACTTCACATTTATTAAGAATCGTTAATTATAACTTTAAACTTGTAAAAAATGTAATTTTCTCATTTTACCCTTTGTAATTAATTATAATAATATATTGTTATATATAATTCAAATAACAAAGAATAAACAAGGGGTAAATTTAAAAAAGAAAATTATTCTGACTTCGTCTTATATTTAGGACAAATTAAAAAAAGCTTCTAGAATCTGTTTTATATTAAAGATTGGAAATTCAAAACAGTACTTAAAAAACATGTTTCATAACACTGAAGTGTGAGAGTATAAACTACTCTCATTTAAAATTAGGAATCAACTTTTACTTTTAAATCTTAAAGTCAAATATACCATGCAAATGAATCAATTAGACATATGTGCAAATTTAAGCCACCCCAAATGGACTGACAATACTCAAACCTAATCCAATTAGATAGTCAAATGAAAAAAATATGTGAGTAACTAATTGGGGTTGGGTGTAGTGCAAAAAATGTTAGTTTCATACAATATGATAAATAAAAATTTGAATTTTCGTTGAAAAAAATGTTTACATTTAATGTTCAACCATGTTTTTAATGGGATTGCCTCCAATAAAAAAAAATGTGGACAGTAAAAAGATATATGTGGATAAATTTAGAATTTAGAAATCACCCATAAATATTCAACTAATTAAATTTTTAAAAAGTATCTTATTACAAATAGGCGGAGAAATTAAACGGTGACTTCAAAATTTTAAAGTGAAGCCTTCGAATGTATCACACGCTTCATTTAAATGCTAAGCCAACCAGAGATACATTTAGGGTGTGGGGGTGTGTTTGTGTTTAGTTTGTGTGTGTGTATAGATAAAGTGATAATGGTTGGGGTCAGTGACTCATAAGAGGTATCAATTATTCACGGGGTGAGGCTGAGACCCTCAATAATACAATTCATTGCACAATTCACTTTGCTGCACATCATCAGAGTTTGGTCCCTAGCTCCACATTTTGCTGAGCTCACACTATTTACAAGTTCATATATATATATATATATATATCATCGTGTTTTCAAATATTTTTTAAAACAACTATATCTCACACACACCGACAGCTCCACGAGTATGATTATTTAAAAAAAAATAACTAAATAATTTAAACAAACTTATAATATATATATATATATATATATATATTATGGTGCAACTAGTTTGCGCTTCTAACCTTCTTTTCTTGTTCTTGTCCTTTACAAGTAGCGCTCGAAGTTTGAAGGGTCAACTTGTGAGCAAACATTTTGTTGTTTTTGCTTCGTTTGCTTTATCTTTTTTTTTTTTCGTCTCTTTTTAATGAGCGTGTATAAGTTTTAGAATGAACAAGTTTCTTAATTCAATTCTTTAACTTATATGCGTGTATGAAACGTTTATTAATCTTTTTAATTATTCATCTGATTTTTGAGCGACCGAGCCATGAATAAGTAAATCCATCATGACCCCAAGTTCTAGGTTCAGAGCTTGTAAATATAGTAAATGATAAATAATACTCATAAAATAATAACCATTTAATTAAGAAGAAATTAAAATCGATCCCCAACTTTTGGGGACGAAAAAGATACCTTAAGAAAAATGAAAAGGAAAAAAAAAATACAGGCCACAATAACGCCATGAATGAATATCGCAGCTGCATAGAGAAAAGAGGAAGATTGTTAAGATTTTTAAAAAAATAAAAATAAAAAAGAATTGAGGCATGCAAGGAACCTGTGATGATGTGGAATATATAAATGAGGATTACGACGTCATTTTAATACTTAATAATTTACTATTATGGTGAACGAATCAAACGCAACTTGCCTCGCCTCGACTCAACTTGATTTGTAAACTAAGTCAAGTTGTGATTCTTTGCCTCGTTCTCAATATTCCCTCCCTCCCTCCCTCCCTCTCTATATATATATATAGAGAGAGAGAGAGAGAAAGTGAGGAAGACGTGAGTTGTAACAGGGATATAAAAAAAATGCAAGTTGGGGTGCAAGTTGGCAATAAGGAGAGAGTGAACCATCGGCATCCATGTTCCTTTGCGTTGTAGAATAAATAAAATAATGAAACCACCCAAGCCCTTTTTCTCGTGTTCCATAAGTCATTTCACCACCCCAGCTTTCATCAAATAACCCAAACCCGCCATTCATTTTTATTTATTTATTTATTCCTTCTTCATCCATCCAATCTTCTTTATTAAAACCCCTTTTCATTAATTACTTGTTCATATTTGTTAATCACCACTAGCGAATTAATGATTCCTTCTTTTCAGTAATATTAGTTAATTAGTTCAGGATTGTTCCAGAAAGTTTCGGGTACGGTTGTAAATAATGCACCAATAAAAAGTAAAAGAGTTATCGAAAATAAGAATATTTATAAATTCAGTTTGGTTTAGTTTTTAAAAAAATATCAAACCATACCAAGTCAGCCCGTTCATCAAACTTGGGATCTATTTAAAGTTTTTCTATGATTGGTTTGGTTTGGTTTTTTTGAATAATATAATTTGGTTGGTTCAATTTAAGTCAGGAGACAAGTTTAAAATTTGTTGGTGGTGAAATGTTTTTTTTTCAAAATCAATATATGTGTGTTTCCTTATTTACTACTATTTTTAGTTGTAAATTACTATTTTTAATAAGAAAATCTCTCGAGGACAAAATAATATTTTTTTTTAGATAATCGATGAGAATCTTTAACTTTTAATGAAACATTTCTTGGTTTGTTTTGGTTTAGTAAGTTTTAATTACGGGGTAAACTTTTTATTCTAATCAATTTTAAACGGTTTATATGCTGGGTTGATCCAAAATAATATATATACACATGTTTGTGCAAAGATCTTTGAATCTTTCCTTTTGTTTTATAATGTGTGTATATAATAAACCTGAATGAATGTGCTCGAGCAAAAATATATAATACATCCAAGATAAAATATTTTCATGCTATTTTGTGGTGGCGTTCCTTTTCAGACACATCATACAAGCACTTGTGCGTGTGTGTACAGACATATATGATATATAATTACAATAGATATGCAGCTTGGGTTTAGTTTCCAGAATGGTGAGATTTTTATTCAGCAGGAAGCAAATATTTCTATGCGTGGAGCTGCTCTCAGCAAGCACAAACCAATTTGAAAATGAGCTCCGTTCATGTGAATCCATCGGTGGGCTTGATATGTATGCACCGACACAAAGTGCCATTTTCACGGGGGAAAATAGATAGTTAAATTAAATTAAAAAATATTCTAAATATTTGATATTCGGATTTTGTAATAATTAAGATTTGCAAGTGAAGTGATTATATGGACAAGGACAAATTGATTTGGATTCAATAAATGATGTCATGAAACCATTCACTTAATGAGTGTTTTACGTGATATGATAACAATCATATAATTGAGATAGTTTATCAAATGATACTAAAAAAAATAAATCTAAAACATTTGGAAGGGGCAATATATATAAAAAGCATTATATTTATGAGAATTGTTTTGAATTTTTGTAAAAAATATAATTGCTAATTTTTAAGTATTGATAAGATTTAATTATTATTTTTTTGAAAATTTAAAAGCAAGCATAAACTTGAAAATAAAACAACACCGAACATTACAACAGGGCAACTCCTAAATTACAATGAAACAGGTGGCGATTATTGCCTATCTTCCCAAAAAATATGGGCACATCTCGACGGCACATCCTTCACTAGCTCCACCAACATTGTTGGCACGAGCTTCACATGCTAGATAATCAGCACATCGAATTGTCATTCTAGGTGAGTAAATAATCCTAGCTAGCTTCTCATTGATCATAAGCA